GTTAGTTACTTTAGGTATTCATTTGCAATACATTCCAGAAAGAAGGTAATTCCATGGCTTTCTAATGGTGTTCACATTGCAATGAAACTCTTCCAAAACTTTACATTGAGCACTTTTCTACTGCAAATTTTAAGCCCATTTATTCTTCATTGTTTAAAATAAACACCATAATGTAAGTAGCTTCTTTCCCACCAAGAATCAACATTACAAAAAAAGCTGCTCTGGCTAGAGATTGACATTGTGTATGCTTCTTGCCAGCAGAGATCACTTATTTTAATTCTTACAGTTGACCAGAGAGCTTCTTCTGTTTTTCTGCTTCAAAGTTTGCAACATTTTTAACTTTAGGGATTGGGGAGGAAAGAAGGAAGTTTCCTTCTGGCTCAATTGCTACTTTGGGCTTTTAGCAGGGATTCTTAGCCTGAGATGTGTACTTAAAAACATACATACACACACATACTATAATATATATACACACACACACACACATATACACACACATACATACATATATATATATGAATAAAATGTGTAACTGCATTTCAATATAACTGATTTCCTTTGTTAAACCTATGTATTTTATTTTTTGCATTTAAAAGCATTATTATGAGAAGGAGTTGATCAGTTTTACCTGATTGCTAAAGAGATGAATAACACAAAAAAGTTTTAAGAACTTCTAAAGGGGATGATGGAGAGAAATGAGAAGCAAAGAATGATAGAAAAACCCAGAAAAGGGGGACATGCCAAGCAATATGGATAACCAAAGGACCACAGATGGTAGTGATGAGCGGAGGTGCACTTTAGTCCAACTCTCCATTTCACAGACAAGAAAATGGAAGTCCAGGTAAGTAACCTACCCAATGTTATGGCTTGTCAATGGGAGAACTAGAACTAGATGTAGGTGTACTGATTTCCATCATATCAGATGTCCCAAAAGTCTTAGGTACAATTTAAAATTGTACCTAAGACTTTCGGGAAACACATAATAATTCTAGCTAAATTTCTACAGGTTTTTTTTTCCCTTTTAAAAACATACCCATATTTATCATCTGGAAAAACTTAATTGCACTTCTTCCCTAGAAAGTCTCTCAATGTTAACATTTCAATGTCAAACCCAAACTGTTTCATCTTACAGAGATGTAGCCTCTACCCTTGAATTTGAGTTTAGTTGGTCAATAACTAACTAAACTAAAGCAGCACCACATCTTAAATAGCTACATTTCTTTTTTCTATTAAAATTTTGTAAAACTTGAAATGCTTTCATTTCAGGTTTTTCATTTCATTTCATTAAAAATCTGTTAACAAGAAATTGTTCATCAGGTAAACGAAAGATAAATGTCACATTAAAAGGTATTATAAAAACCATTAAAATGCTTGATACTCTGAAATTTTAAGAAAACTTTTCTTTAAAAATTTAGCAATGCCTTGCTAATTCCAATCCTATTAATCTGCCATAATAGCTAAGAAAGGGACTGGACAAAATGTTATTTTTGTACTAGCTATGGAAAAATGTGCTAAGCAAAGAGAAACATTTAAACTACTTGCAAGTAAATATAAAGAGCATTGTTTGCACAAAAGGATTAATTTTACAAATCCTTCTCATCCATACATTGACAGAATTCACTGACAAGTTTTACAATCAATAGCCTGCTTAATGCACACTTGAAGAGTCATAATAGTTTCTTAAAAATTCTAATTTTAGACTTGCCTTCTTTTTTTCCATGGTATTTTATCATCTTGTCCCTACAAATAATATGTAAATATCCTTTTGCATATTTCATACCTACCTGGGCTTGATCCAAACTGAGTGAATGTTGTTTGCTTTAAAAATACTGCTGTTTATTTCTATTTAATAAGTTAAAATGTTTTCAATGGATTCTCTCTGGTTCCAGGAGTATTAATGCTTTTCATTGAACCTCCTCAGATAGACTGTTCACCTTAATAACTGATTTTGAGATACAACCAAAAAAGGAAAGCTTTGGCTCCAGTCTTATTACGATATCTTGCATAGGTGTTTCTCTAACTTAGATCTTAGTAGTAACCTAAGCTCCTCCAATTAATGCATCTCAGGCAAATTCAACCTATGGTCAACTTCAGAAATTCTCAACTACTTATAAACAAAACAAAACAAAACAAAAGGCCCAAAGTCACCAAAAGAAACAAAATACCCCACCAACAGGCACACTGGAGAAACTCAACTGAGTTCCTTCAATCTTTTGACTCAATGGCTAAACTAATTCTAAAGGTCACTAGCCAATCGGAACCATCCTTGAATCCAAGCAGTTTTACCAGCTTTTATTATAAACACCAGCACATTTCAAGTTTCCTCTTTTTGATCACAAATATAGGACTTTCCCCCCCCCCCTTAAGTATACAGCATGAGACACAGCATTGGGGCTTTCCATCTTTCTTACAGCAATTTCCTTCTGACAAGCTCAGGGTTAGTGTCCACTGACCACACCCTCAGCCCCATCTTTTGACATCTTGATTGCTTAAGACAGTTGCATGGGATGAGGAATCCAAAGATGTTGAAGTTGGTACAAAGAGTTTCGAATTGCAGAAAAAGCTTTAACAGAAACGCTCTTCATTTAACAGGTTAGAAAGACTAAACAAGGTGGGAGTATGCCATATTCACAGTACGGGGCCAACAGCTCTCTCCAGTTTCACAAATCACCAGCTACAATTATCTCTGTTGTTTTAACATACTGTCCGATACTGTCCCACTAGTAAAAAGGTAATACTGGCAGGGGAGAATATATGTAAAAATTAAGCAAGCTAAGCACTGCTAATAAGCATTGTTTATATCAGTTGGGGACCTGGGGTATTGGGGGGGTGTCTTGCATTCCTTTCTGATGCAAGTCTAGTTCAACTAATCTACATTATTAAAACTCAAATCATGGAACACTGTGCAAAAGTGGATTGCAAAGTTTAAGCTACTGGGAAAGTTTCCTCAGATTTAGATTCTGAAACAAAGCATTTTGAAAATATCTCCAGAAACAAGAGGGCCAAAAGGAGTATATATTTGGGCCATGATTTGTATTCCATAGAAAACCCACTTGATCTAGAATTCCCATTTCATTTAGGGACTGGGGATACTAGGAGAAACAGAATTCAAGTCATTAGCAACCTATGGTGCAGCAGACTAAACAACATTAGTCTAACTTGAAATCTCTCCGTTGGTGATCCTTCTCTGAAGTGTATGCAATTTTTACAGTAATCATGGAATTAAAATGATCATCCCACTCACTATGAGCATCTGAAAATTGGACCTAAGGGGGATCAACAGGGCCACTTGGATGAGTACGGGGTGTTCCCACAGTACTGGGATGGCCATATTTAATCACCTCATTGGCCTGGGGTCAATTACAGAATTATTGGTAGGAAGAAAGGTGAACTTCCATTAGCAAATCCCTGACTAGAGAACCCTTACTCCTTTGGCTCAGTTCCTAACAGATACTGAACACTTCCACAAGAATATGGGATTTAGCCTGGGCCAGATAAGCAAGAGCCAACTATAAGAATGGATCAGGGTAAGCTCTGGAGGTAGAAGAGTCTGTAATTACCACCTTTAATGCAGGAGTACTATTTTAAGCCAAATGGTCAGATAGAACAGTTGGGAACAAGGACAACACCTAAAGTAAACCTTCCTCCAGCTTTCTGGTTGTTCATGAAACCAGGCCTGCATCTTCTATTCAGGAACAATAACTGCCACCCATACTACGCAACTGGATGAGGCTATTCAACCAGTATTTTGTAAGGGCTAAGGAAAGGAGGTAGGATGGGTTAAAAAAAAAAGTTTCATCCAAGGCCCTTTTAAAGAAATAGTCATTCATCTATTACATAACTTACGAATACCTGTAAGCATTAACTGTATGGGATAAAGACTGACCTTGCTTCACTCATTCCCAAGGAGATACTCTAAAAAGGCTGCTCTTCACTGGACATGTTACCTAAATATGCCATAAATCAGGCCACCACTACCAATGCCCCAGGCTGCTTCTATGAGTGAATAACCAGAATCATGTCTTACAAAGAACAGAATCCAAAAAATATATATAAATAAATAAAAACCTTAAACATTCTTACATGGATCTTAAAGAACAGAATACATGTTAAAAACTTCAGTAATTTATATCAATTTTAAGCAGTACTTTATATACAATGGGAAAAAAAGACATGCATAGTCCAAATACAATGTTGAAAACAGCATTTTCATAACAAAAAACCCCAAACACTAAGTGTTAATACCATGTACATGAATTCAAGAAGGACCACCCTTTTTGTCTGTTGCACACAGTTTATTTAACAATATGATATAATAAGTAAGAAATGAGTTGGTATTTTACCATTCTATACAGTGATTGAATCTTCTTGGATTTTCTTATTTATAGTAATTATAGAGCTTGCATGATTTACACTAGAATTGCTTTTCCTCATTTCAAGTTTCACATAGAAGAAAGAAAAGAATGTTTCTTCTCTATTAAAATCAGCACGGTCTAAGAGTGATCATCCCTATTTTATCATCTAAAACCAGTTTTATCAGAGAAACAAAGCAACAATTTCTACATCTGCAAGACAAGGATTTTGGCATAAGCCAGTACGTATAGGGTATGTGTGTGTGTGTGTGTGTGTGTGTACACAAGAGTCAATTCCTATCTTCCAGGGGTAATACTTGGAGCGCCCGCAGAGTTCACTATAGAAAAAAAATCTTCCCGGAACATGTCAGAAAGTTACCGGGACACATTATAAGCTTGCATTATTTCAGGAAATCAGTTTCTGAATATTATTTTTTCTTCTCACTTTTAAACACAAATGTTTAAAGTCTTGAAAATACAAATAAAAAATATGAATATAATGAACTTGTTTTCCCCATTTAAAAAAAAGACATGAGTCACCATCAATGACAAAAAAGAATCCAAACAAAACCACCCCCCACATCCCCCACCCCCAAGAAACAAAACAAAAAGAAAAAAAAAAACAAAAACAAAAAGAAACAAAAACCAAAAAAACAAACAAAAGAAAAAAAAGAAAAGAAAAAAGAAAAACCCAAAAACAAAAAGAGACCAGATATTTAATCAACTGGTTTTTAACAAAAAATATATTCTTTGTATTGTTTCTTTAAACAGCAATTCGTCCTTCCATGGCTTGGAAGTAGCAGTTCCATCTAGGGTCAAAAACAACCTAGATGTCTGGATTTTCAGTACAAAATGTCCAAGAACATGAAAAGGAAAAAAAAAAAAAAGGTGATGCTCCCATAATGCTACAAACCCTCCACAAATTTTTCTAGTGTGTCTCCCGTGGTATCACCGACCAGGGATAATTCATTGGACAACGCACTCCTGTTCGGGGTGTTTAGTTGCGGAAGCATTGCACTCTGTTCGGGGTTACCCAAATGTCCCTGATCCATGGAGCTAGCCATGGTAACTGCAAGTCCTGGGTGGGGGGAACCAGTCTGGGGTGAGACGTGATGTGGTGAAGGCTGGGGTTGTATCCTCGGTGATGGGCTGGAATGTGGTGGCTGGGACTGGGGACGCGGAGACTGGACAGGGGCTGGAGACCGCACCTGGTTACTGAGGGAGGTGGCTATCTGTTGGCCAGGGAGATGAGATGCCTGTGGTTGTCCTGAGAGCATATGCTGCTGTGGGCTCATAGGATTAGGCTGGCCTGGGGACCCTATCTGCTGTTTCATTTGCTGTTGTTGCAGAATCCGCTGCTGCAGTGCTTGCTGAATGTTGGAGGTGCCATCCGCCCCCAGGCCAGGCTGGCCCATTTGGCTCAGTTGTCCCATTTGAGCCATCTGGCCCATGGAGCCTCCCTGTATGGATAAATGTTGTTGCATCCTTTGTTGCTGCATGGCTTGGGGATAACCCCCAGGTCCTTGAGGCTGCTGGAACTGGCTGTGCCCTGCCATTGCACCAGCCATCCCAGCACCTCCTTGTTGTTGTTGTTGCTGCTGCTGCTGCTGCTGCTGCAGCAACTGCCTCCTGATCATTTCTCTGTACTGTGGATTCATACTTGCCATGCTGGGATTGTGCCCTGTGTTCATGATGTTTATTGCCTGTCCCTGGGGATTCATGCCTCCCATTCCTTGCTGCTGAGGGGGGACGTTAGGCCTCTGAACTCCTGCTTGCATTGCACTCATGTTTTGTAAAGCAGGCTGTGTGTGCATGATGGGCTGCTGCATTCCAGTTTGTTGCTGGATACTGGTTTGAGGCTGCATTCCCGGCTGGTTAGCCACATATTTAGCTGTTCGCTGCTTTATGAAAGCTGCCATTAGTTGAGGATTTGCTTTGAGGATGTTCAGCACTTGTTGCTGTTGCTGTGGTGAGCTGGGGGATTTCAGTGTCCGTAACAAATCCTGCAAGGCATTGGGTGGGATACTCCGTGGGGGCTGCACTCCTGGCATCCGTGGCCCAGCAACCGTCTGCTGTGCTGGCATGGGCATGACAGGCCTCTGTATTCCTGCCATCGGCTGCTGCTGGGGAATCGGAGCTGGCTGCCACTGGCCTGGCTGCATGTTAGACATGACTGGCCCAGTCACCGGGTTTGGTCGGGGAACATTCATGTTAACTTGAGGCATCTGATTCACTGGCCCCACAGCTTGACTCACCATGCCTGCGCGCCCTGGAGGCAGGCCATTGTTGATGCTGTTGACTCTGTACAGATGTTGCTGCTGCTGAGCTTCTCGCTCGATCTGCCGAGCCGCTTCCACAGCGGCTGGGGGTGGCTGGGCAGGAGGAGGTGGTGCTGCTACCTGGTTGGGAGGCTTTCCAGTGGAGACTGTAGCTGGGGGTTGTGTTCTGGCCACAGTGGGGAAGCCAGCCGGTGACATGCTTACAGGTGAAGGCTGAGGCTGGGGGGGAGGCTGAGGCGTCTGGGGGGTGCTTGGCTGTTGTGTAGGGGTACCAGGTGTCGCTGAGGTAGGAGAAGGCAAACTTTGCTGAGGCACATTGCGGGTGTTCATGGTGGCCATTCGTCGACGCATGAGTTGAGCCTGCTGTAGCCGATGTTGAATCTGCTGCTGTCTGAGCTTGTGTTTGATGTTGAGACAGAATGGCACAGGGCATTTGTTCTCTTGGCAGTGTTTGGCATGGTAGCAACAAAGGGCAATGAGTTGTTTGCACACTGGGCAGCCTCCATTGGTCTTGCGCTTGCAGCCCTTGGTATGCTGAACAACCCGTTTCATCTTCTGACAAGACGGCAAAGAGCAGTTTGCATTGCGACACTGGCAGGCATGGACCAAGGACTGGATGCAACGCTGGATGCTCAGACGCCGCGATTCCTGGGGGCTCTTCGATTGCTGTTCTCCTTGGCTATTGCTCTCATCATCCAAGCCCAAGCCCCATTTAACCATTTTATGATCATGACTCTTAGTGTTGTAGCAGTTAATGCAAAGGTCATAATCCTTTAAATAAAGAAAAAGACCAAAAAAAAAAAAGAAAATCAGCCTCATAATGTACAATAATCCACTAGGCAATAAAATAAAGCATATCACTACTATTGATAAATATGACCAACATTTATTCTTTATCTTCTCCCCCTTCCAAAATATGATTATCCCACAATTTATTTCAATTCTTAAAAATTATGAATCAAAGATTTGTACAATTTTTTGGTTATTCGAATTTGACTAAAGTGATTCAACACCTCAAGCAAGAAAGGTTAGATTTAGAAGTTAACACATGTTACATGTCAGCATTACCTCATCACCTTGATCCAGTGGTCCTTAAACTGCTTGGGGATCTTCAGTAGGGCATAATCAATTCATCACCACAAAGCTATTACCACACACTTACGCTAACTCTGTCTCATTAACTTGGTGGCAGCCTAAGAGTTCATCTAAGTTCACCTCTTACATTTTACAAAGAGGAAAATTTACACTAAGAAATGTTAAACTCACTGCACATTTGTTAATACTAACACACACACACACACTCCAAATACCACAAAAACAATGCACATTCCTAGGATTTATTTTTTCCAAAGAGAATGATGTGGAAATGCGGGAGGATGGGCAGAAGGGACTATCAGGTTTCCAAAAAAAAGACTGAGAACTACTGTCCTACTATAACACTAGTACTCTCAAAAATTATAATTACTCTTAAAAAAAATGCAAACTCAAATAACATGAAAAGGCATTACAGCTACAGAAAATAGATAACAGGTATCGGTATTAATGGCTATTTCAATCTACCTAGAGACTTCCCCCTTCTCTATACTTCTCAAAAATGAGGCTGATGAGTTTAAGATGCCCTATATAGGCTCTTGGCCCTGTCCCATTATTCTATTTTGAAGAGCCCACAGTGAGCTAATGTAAGATTTGGTTCAGTGATATTAGCAATAATATAGTTAGCTCCCACAAGTCATCAGAAAGCAACATAACAAGATAAAAGGGGTTGATGAATCCAGGGCAGAGTGGTGAAGCTTTTCCCTTATAGCTTCTAAATAACTGTCTCAAGGATGGTGTGTCTATTTGCCAATTTCACTAACTATAGTAATTATAATGTGAATGGAAAAAAAGATGGTAAGTTATTATCAATCCTCAAAACTGGAAGGGCAAGTATTTAAACTGAAAAATTAGACAACAATCCTATCAAAACATCTTCTTGATGACGAATCTAGATTGTGTCTATATTCAAAGTCTTCCTTATAATAGCATTTTTAAGGGAATCTATTGCCCAACAAATTTAAAATATACTTTATGAGATGTCTTTACAGAAGACAACTTTGGCACACTGATCTGGACAAAAGTTCAATGACCTAATTATACAGATTTAATAAACTTAGTTGGAGTGGCTGGACACAGACTTGAACTCTTTGATCCAATACTGTACAGGTAACTATTGCCAAAAGCAAAGTATGTTTTGCTTAGAAAGGAAGCAGCAAGAAACCAAAAAGGCAATCCATTTAGTAAAGAACCACAGTGCAGATGAGAAAAAAAAAAGATCTAATACTTACCTCACAGACTGTACAATGCCACCTGGTTTCTACATGGTGCTTACACTCATTGCAAGTGTAGACGAAACGATCTTGCCCTTGAGTGTGTAGCTCCACCAACATACACAATGTTGACCACTTGGATCGACGCAATGAGGAGAACTCCCAATGCTTGTCTCTGGCTAGGGTAAGGAAGGCATCACGCCCATCCATCAGATCACAGCTGAGTAATGGATCAGGGTCCACAATGGGATGCAGAGTGTTTATTACAGGCCCAGCATGGAGATGAATCACAAAGAAGACCTACAGTTAAATGAGAACAGTAATGTGAGTTAAACACCAGTATTAAATAGGACATAAGAGTGGACAGAATGAAATTCAAGACTAGAAATGAGATAGAGCTTTAATCAATACTCTCCTATTAGGATTATTATTTAAATGTTCTATACTCCAGTGTCTTCAAAGAAGGTAGCACTAGAGAACAGGACTAATCTAACATTCATCTTTATGAGTGACCAAGGGAAGATCAAGTTTTCATTTGACTTAGTTAATTTTTCAAAGAAATTATTTTATCTATGATATACTACACTGCTGTACACCTGTCCAAGGTGAATGGATACTTTTGATCTGAAAAGCTAGCGTGAGGGTTTAAATTAGTGTATGACCTCTCAGTAATACATTCTCATCAGACAACCAAGGAACAAAATGCAAGTTTCAGGATCTTTTTTTTTTTTAAGTGAGGCAACTGGGGTAAAGTGACCTGCCCAGAGTCACACAGCTAGAAAGTATTATGTGTCTGAGGTCAGATATGAACTCAGGTCCTCTGGACTCCAGGGCTGGTGCTCTATCCATTGTGCCACCTAGCTGCCCCAGGTTTCAGAATCTTAGTAAAGAACAAAGCCTTGCAACATTTCTGTGCTTGCTATGAAACAGCCTGGCCTAGGCGGGTTCTCCTGGTTGCCAGTGACACAAAGATAACCAGGGTCTGGTTGGAGGCAGACAATTAGTAGGATGATACACCTTTCAAAGCTGAGCTTCCAACTTTTACCTCTTTGTGTTTCTCCATGGTGGCATAGAGCTTCTGAGACAAGTCATTGGATACATTTGGCATGCTGGGCTTCTTCTTGTTTGCTCTGCTGATGCTGCTTTTATTCTTGTTGGTTTTCTTGTTGTTCTTTTTCTTGGCATTTTTGCTGTCACCCTGGCTGCCCTAGGATGACATTGCAAAGTGGTTAAGATAGTCCCTCCCCATACTGGGATAGCCGAAAGGAATCAATGGTCCATTGCTGCCTAAGTACACTTTCAGGCACTACACACGCATGAAGCCTCCTCCATTCTGACGGCTGAATTCATGTATTACAATGACAAAGAATGTAAAATTGGCAAGAAAGCAAAAAAATGGGTATTTAAAGGTTTGAACAGAGCAGTAAAATGCCAAGTGGCAAAGATTTCAAGTTTTATGTATTTATTTTCCCCAAAAAATATAATGGCTATTTAGGAATTTTCCCACTAAACTTTGGAGATGACAACTTTTTTGTTTTAATAGTTTACCCCTAAACCATCTACCACAGCATCAGCTGACACAAGATACTGAAGGTACAAGAGTTGGAAAATATAAAACCAGAGACGCATTCTGTATTTATTTCTTGTTGCTCCTTCTACGAACTGCTGGATAGTAGGGTGGCATCCTGAATTTGCTACTAGACATAGCTCACCAAGAGCAGCTACCCACAGAATAGGAGCTTTCCCCCTTTGTCTCCAGCGCCCCGGGAACACTTCCCCTACTCTGCTTACTTAGAACTGAACTTATACATAGAACTTTCTTCTGGCTAAATAGTTAATGACATTGTAACATTGTCTTTACCTAATTCAAACTCTATCCAGTCTAAATTACGGAAAAATAGTTTCAAAAGTATGCTGTACATATATCTCTCTTTCTAGAAACCCAGCAAATCTAATAAATTGTGCTGTTTACACCCTTTGCTTACTTGTATATCCTTCTGGAAAGGGATTAACAAGTAAAAAATTTGTGAATTGGTTAAAACCTTTACAAAGCTACTTTAAATATATTTGAACATTTCTTACAGGAGAATTATTAGTGTGTTTTTTTAAGAGCTTCCTATATTTACTGTTCACTATTTTTTTGAACATTCTTATTAAACAAATTTTCACATCAGTCATGTTATAAAGAAGAATTAGAACCAATGGGAGGAACCACAAGAAAGAAGAAACAAAACGAAAAAAGAGAGAACTCAAATAGTATGCTTTGATCTGCAATCAGACTCCACAGTACTTTCTCTGGATGTGGATAGCATCTTCCATGCTGAGTCTTTTGGAATTATTTTGGACCCTTGTATTGTTGAGAAGAGCTAGGTCTATCAAAGTCAGTCATTACACAATGTGGCTGTTACTGTGTACAATGGAGAACTATTAGTTTCAAAACATGAAATACTGAATATCTATCTACTCTATTGTTTTTGATGAACCAGATACAACTGGCCATTCACAACAAATCGGCACAACAAGTGTGACACAATGTAAAGAGTGCTGAATCTGGATTTGGAGGACCTGAATTTGAATCCTGGTTCTCCCAGTTAGTAAGTAGGGTTAACTAAGTAATCTATGTGACCTTGGCTTGTACGACCTGTAATCTCTTGTGGCCCTCAGTTCCTCGTTTGTAAAACAAAGTCTAAATCTATGGTATGAAAAGAAAGAACACTGGTACTAGTAGACCTGTAGCTGTGTCACTAACTAGTTTTATGATCTGGGGTAAGTCACTTAATTTCTCTGGATCTCTAAGCCTAAGACTCCTCATCTGTAAAGCGAGAGAGGTAGATTGGATCCCTCAAATTTCTTTCCTTCCTAAAATTCTGTGATCCCATAAAATTGCAACAAGCATAGAAATTGTAGCCTGAATGATCTTACTAAAGGCTGGAAACATGGATATGACCCCTTCTCACAGTTTCCTTAATTGCTACCCTAGTTCAGTCAGTCAATAAACATATATTAAATACCCACTATGTACCAGGCACTGTGCTAACCTTTGGGGATACAAAAGTAAGCAAAACACAGTCTCTGCGCTCAAGAAAATTACAATTTAATGGGGGAAGACAGCAAGCAAATGAATATGTACAAACAACGTATGTACAGGACAAAGAGGAAATAATAAAGGAAAGTCACTAGAATTAAGAGTTAAAGGCTTGGTGTAGAGGATGAGATTTTTGTTGGGCCTTAAAAGAAAATCAGGAAGCCAGTAAGAGGAGATGAAGCTGAGTATTCCAGGGATGGAAAAAATACACGGGGCTAGAGAGTACCTTGTTCATGGAACAGCAAGGAGGCCAAGGTCACTGCATCAAAGAATATGTGGCAGAGATTAAGGTATAAGAAAACTGGAAAAGTATCAACTGGCCACAGTACTTTGGGACTTCACCACCATGTCCTGGGAAGCTCATTTTTGGGATAACCTCATCATGCTCTAAGATCTCATCAGCCTTGATGCTCCAACTCGTCACTACCTTCTCATTCTCTGATTGGAGTGTGGTGCCACGTGTGCCAAACCTCCATTTAAAGAGACAGTTCAGCTCAAACATCTTTTTGTCACCTAGCTACACCTTCTTTGGGACTTCTCCACTATGCCCCAGACTCTGGTACCTCTTTCTCCTTTCCACAGCTACCCTCCTGCCCACTCCCCACTTTTCAGCTTCCTTTTCAGTTCTGTCTTTCCCTTGAGGGCAGGGATCGTCTTCCTTTATTTTGTATTTGTTTCCCCAGTGCACAGTACAGTGTCTGGAAGAGAAGTACTTAATAAATGTTATTGAGGGGGCTAGGTTATAAAGGGCTTTGAATGCCAAACAGAAGATTTTTGTATTTGATTTTGGAGGTGATGTGGAGTTTATTGAATAAGGCTGAGACATGGTGGGACCTACCCTTTATGTGGCAGGTGGTGGATAAATGGAGGAGAGACTGGAGTATTTGAGGCAGGCAGACCCATCAGCAGGCTACTGCAATAGTCAAGAAGGGAGATGATGAGAACAAGCACTAGAGTGGTGACAGTGTCAGAAGAGAGAAGGGAGCAACAGTCAAGAGAAGTTGCAATGGTGAAACCGACAGGCCTTGGCACAGACTGGAAATGGGGAGTGATGAGAGGTAGTGAGGAGGTGAAGATGATTGCTAGGTTATGAATCAAAGGGATAAAGAGGATAATGTCATTCTGAAAAGTAATAGGCAAGTTAGGAGGGGGGAAGTTTTAGGGGAAAAAAAACACCAAGTTCCATTTTTCAACATGTTGAGCATAAGATGACAACTGGAAATTCACTGTGATATGTCAGAAAGGCAGACGGAAATGTGAGACAGGAGGTCAGCAGAAATAATGGGGCAGGAGAGGTAGATTTGGGTACCACTGGCATAGTGATCCATGGGAGCTGATGAGGTCGGCTGATGAGTAGTATAGAGGGACGAGAGAAGAGGGCCCAGGACAGAATTGTGAAGGATATCTACAGTTAGAGGGTATGATCTGGAAGAGGATTCAGCAAAGGAGACAGAGAATGAAAAGTCAGATAAGTAGGAGGAAAAGCAGGAGAGTGGTGTCCCAAAGACTTGGAGGCTCTTCTAAGAGCTTCCAAACAATGCCATCATATTACCTTCCTAAAAATTACTCTATTAAAAAACCTTCAATGGTTCCTAAAATGCCTATGGAATAAGGTATACTTAAAGTCTGTCAATTTCACACTCAAGGATTCCATGATCTGGTCCTAAGCTACTTTTCCAGCTCTACCATCACTGAACTCTGGACCACTGACCATTCTCTAAACAAACATTCAGCAAGCTTAATCACTTCTGAACCCTTGTTCATATCATTCTCTGTACCTGAAATGGCCACCCACATATAGCTGGTTAACAAAATAATACCCATATTTCAATATTTACCTTAAATGCTAATGATAATATGTTCATCCTGGGACATAGCTTATCTGTACACTCTGACAAAACTTAATTTGTACCACTCATATGATACAACATACACTGCATTATGTGTGTCTCATCTTTCCCATTAAATTTAACCTGAAAAGCAGGGACCATATCTTATGCAATATTATATCTCATAAGGCATCCACATATAACAGGAGTTTAAAAAATACTTGTAGGTAACATAGATAGTAACAGTAGCAGCTGACCACTAACACTGAATGGGCAGTTAATTAAGGACTGTTGTCCTAAGAAGAAAAATGATCTAAGTCAAAATGAAAGGAGAACATATTACTCTTTAAGTATCTCAACAATCTGGCGTATTCACCCACAGGAATTATTTGCAGACAACAGTCAATAGACTTTGTTGACTTTATCACCATTACATCTATTCCCTCCGATCCTACTGTAGCTCAGACCTACAGCACCTTATGCCTGATTACCATAACTGACCTCTCTACTTCCAGTCTCTCTCCCTTATCCCATTTATTCTTCACACAGCTGATAAAGTCACATTTAAAGCAGTTTTGATCATGTCATTCTCATGCTCAAAAACCTTCAGTGAGTACCTACTACAAAGCTTAGCTTAACTCAACATTTAATAAGGCCAATAACAATCTAGTTGGAAGTGGCCAGCAATTAACATTAAGATCACAGGATACTTACCTCTGTGGTTTCACTAGCTGCAGTACTCTCTTCTTTTTTTCTTTCTTCTTCTTCCTGTTCAAGTTCCTTAATGCTTTCTTCCAAAACATTAGGCCAAAAATCACCTTCAAAATATGGTAGCTCCTTGGCACTTGTAAGCCTATCCTCTGTTGCTTGTTTGAAAATGTCCTAATGAGCGAAGTACAAGATAATAATATGGTCTCCACTACAAACTATTTTATTTGCAATGCAGTGACAGTATTTACTGATGATCATAAATAATGTTTTAATGAGATAAGTTATTTTGTGTTAACTGGACAACAATGTAATTGTTGGCACACATAGCAATGGTGAACAAACTCCAGAAATTGTACAATGAGAAGTAATTCCCCATCATTTTTTAAATGTTATTTTATCATTATCATTATTTTTTTTTTTTAGGCAATTGGGGTTAAGTGACTTGCCTAGGGTCCCACAGCTAGTAAGTGCCAAGTGTTTGGTCTGAGGCCTAATTTGAACTCAGGTCCTCCTGACTTCAGGGCCGGTGCTCTATCCACTGCGCCACCTACCTGCTCCTCTCATCAAAAATTTAATCTATAACATATTTTCTTATAAAATCAAATGAAAATCTGAGTAAATTACATTTATAAAATGTTTAATAACTTACTCTAAGTGAAACATACTTATGCTTCTCTGCATTTATATTCAAATTTATGCTACATTTGTCAGTCTATATTTCTTATCACTCATCAGACTGTAATCTCTTTGAACGAAATAGATCCATGCAATAGAGGCACTGTGATGCAGTGCTAAAAGGCCCCACTGTTGGGAGTTAGAACACGACAGGTGGAATTCCAGCATCAACCACTCATTACTTGGCAAGTGACTCCAGGCAAGTGTCTTTTGCCTCACTTAGCATTAGCTTCCTCATTTTCAAAACGTTGTAAGCAAAGTGCCTTTTATACTACAAAGAACTATGTAAATGTATGAAATGTATGCCATTGTTGTTGTTGTTGTTAGTTATCTAGCACAGTGTGTTACACATTAGATTATATCCATCCACACATAATACATGAAGAAAAAGCTACATAAAAAGCAATGTGATTTGACACTAAGTACCTTGTAGTCATGAATGATGCGCTCAGCAAAGCCTTGTCCAGCATCTTTTTGTACCATTCTTGTAGTCGTTTAGGTTTAGGGATTTTTTGATCAGGAGGGTGGCAATGAAAGATGTAATCATCTCCTTCACTTGGGGGACAGGCCCATATATGTCCTGTGACATACCTGTAGGATACACACTCATCAACAGACCTGGAGTAATTATTTAGTAATATAAAAATTCTCTTCTGGAATTTGAAGTCAGTTCGTAGCTTCCCTCAAGGGGGATGAAATAAGACAAAGTTTATAGTCAGTTCTTTTCATGAAATTCCCAGCTCTTAATTTAGAACTGGGTGTACCAATCCTAGGTTTAGAGAAGGAGTGAGATATTGTTGCATAAAAAGTACAAAAATAAGAGGGACACAGGGAAGAGATTACTAAAAGATACAACTTGAATATACTAAAGTATACATGGGTTATAAAATGCATAAGATCTAAGTGTTGAGTAAAAATGGTTCAAGGGAGGATAGAGGACATACTCTGGAGAGAAAAATTAGCATTTAGACCCAAAATAAGAAACAAATTACACCCCCCTCAAACCCACTCAATATTATTTAAAAAAAAAAAGCATAATATAAATTAAGAAAAAAGGAAAAAGAAGATTGTTTACTTTTCTACACCTCTTTCAAATGAAACTCACCCCAATTTCTTCACATATTCCAGATATCCAATTAGGATTTCATGATAAACAGCTGTCCGAAGGCAACGGGGCCGGAAGAAATGAATACTATCCAGATACGATATGTACACACGCCTGAGAGAGAGTTATTAAATTAAATTCAAGGTCTGCCTCAAATTTTTTGCATACACACTAGGCACAAAGTTGGAAATGCTGAAATTCTTGTTACTTTATATAGTTGTCATTATTTGCTAATTTAAAAAAGGTTCAACATCATTTAGTTGTCATTATTTGCTAAAAAAAAAAGGTTCAACATCAACTAGTAGCTAAATTGAAAGGAGGAAAAGATAATACAATTTTTCCAATAGATAAATGGTCAAAGGATAAGAACAAAGTTTTCAGAAGTGTAAATAACCATGAAAAAGTGTTCTACATCAACGAAAAGAGAAATAGAGAATGAGAGAAATACAAATAATAACTCTGAGGTTTACTTCACACCCATCAAATTAGCAAAAATATGGAACAACAAAAATAGTCAACATCAGAGGGTAGTTATAGGATGGGTGTGTGTGTGTGTGTGTGTGTGTGTGTGTGTGTGTGTGTGTGTGTGTAAGTAAAATGACAGTCGTGCTATAAGTTGGTCCAACTACTCTAGAAATCAAATTGTAACTGTGAGAATTTTCAGTAAACTGCTCATATCCCCTGAACCACTGATGTAACTATATGACACATCCTTCCTCTAAGGAAATCCATAACAGAAACGAGATGTGTAGAGTAACATTTTTTGGAATAACACAAACCAGAACAAAAAATGGGCAATATCAAGTGAGAAATAGCACAACAAATTATAGTATATAAATACTAAAATATTACTCTGCTTATGAAAAATGCTATCCACCTTCAGAGAAATGAATTGATGAAGTCTGAATGCAGATTAAAAGTACACAATCTTTTTCACTTGATTTTTTATTCATTAATATTTTTGGAGTTTTGTTTTCTTTCACATGACTAATATGGAAATATGTTTTGCATGATTGCACATGTATAACCTTTATAAAATTGCCTACTATCTCAGGGAAGGGAGAGGGGACAAAAGGAGAGAATATGGAACTCAAAATTTGAAAAAACAAAATGTTAAAAACTGTTTTGACATCTGATTGGGGAAAAAATAAAATGTTGAAAATAGAAAAATTACTGTGCCATAAAAAATGATGTTTATGCAGAAAATGAGAAGATGTGCATGAAGTGATGTGAAGAAAGCCGAATCAGAAGAACAACATAAATAGTCCTAAAAAATAACACTAAAAGGTAGCTAAACTTAGATGAATTGAAATGAACAATCTTCATACTGGAGAAAAGGGATGTAACTTATACTTTCTCTGCCTATCAGTTTTTTTTTTAAACCAGTACACATGACTTTTACTGATGTTTAAAAAATGAGTAACACTCTACTATCTATTACCAATTGAACCTCACTCTTATAACAAAGAGAAAAAACAAAAGTGCTAAAGGAAAACAGTCTGGCACTTTCTATTTTTTAACATTCCCACATTTACAAGTGTCATAATGAAAATACTTAAAATGGCAATGGAACTAGGTACAAATATTATTGAAGTCATAAGCTTTGTTTAAAACTTCCCATTACAATTCTTATTTGCCCACAGTCTGATTTATTAAACTATGGTTTCATTTCTTCCAACTCTGTTCTGATCTGCATCACTATAATCTTGAGCAGTTACTACATTAGTTTGTCAGAATGTAAAAAAAGAAATGCCAAGAATCGAAATGAAAGACTACCTTGTGTTGGGTGGGGGGCAATCAGAGCCATATTCTTGTACATGCATTCCAAAGAAGCATACATCCACACCATCAATTTCTTCAAAAGCAAAGAGTGCTTTGGTTCGATAAGGAAAAGATTCAGACATTTCACCAGAATCCACAAACCTGTAAGAAGTTAAATCAAACTTTAGAATTCTAACATTGAATTTGATTGTCTACATTTAGAACTTTACAAATACATTTTAAAATTAAGTTAAAATATTGAGGCACAAGAATCTTGGGGTTGAACAACTTAAAATCTTATGTAAAAAAATGAAAAAGCTTTTCCAAAAAACAGCATATGAAGAAAAATGACCAAAAAATACCCCATGCAAGGTTGTTCTTTTCCTTCGGACAAAAGGAAAACTTAAGAAGACTGAGGATGTTTCCCGCCCCCTTCATATATTTAAAAAAAAAAAGTTCTAGTCAATGCAAACCAAACAAACCTCGATTTCATTCCAGGCTTGACTTCCACTGTTTTATCTGAACTGGCTACCACTCTGACAAAAACTTCACCAGCTTCAGGATGATTCTGACGCCGCAAAAATTTGTTAACTCTGTCTTCTAGATGGTTTCCTAATCGGGTAGTTTGCAGTCCTGGAAAAGAAAAAAAAAAATAACCAGGTAAGAGAGATTAATTACGAAGGGCTGGATTTCTATTTTCTAAGAGAATGTCACTCATGTCACTCTCCAAGCTGTTCTTTGAAAGTAGAAACAAAAAACCTGTTCAGACATAAGAAATAATTAATCTTAATCAATGAGCTTTATTAGAAGATTATTTTCATCACTCCTGATATAGCAGAAATTTAACATGATACGGTATACTGGAAAACGCATGCCTGTTTGGCACTATGGTTTATCACCATTCATATATTGTAAAATTAATTATAAAGTGCTAACCAAAAGTTATTTTAAAAAAGAAGGGGTTGGGGGGAGTGAGAGACAGAAAAGAGCATTGGGGTAAATGAATAAGTTTGGTGTCATGCCTATTCTTTGATGCTAGCATGATTCCATTCTTGAGATCAAAGTAAAGAAGATGGCTTTCTACCTATTCCTAGGTAAGTATGTCACTGGCCACAAAAACCCACTTTCTTAACTCTCCTAGAGTTGAAGACATAACTTTGAATTTTGTAGATTACAAAGTTGGGTCCTCAATTACAAATAGCTCATGTAGATTCCTGAAGCCAGGTATATTACAGAGCTTTGTAAAAATTTCAATTTTTGCTCTGGAAAATTTAGAATGCTACTTTGGCTATAAGACAATAGGGTTGTGGTCAAAGTATTAAGCAGATGTGAATTTAGGCACTAGGCAAATTCCCTACATTCTTACTTAGTTCTGAAGATATCACTTTTCTAGGAAATAGAGGGGATAATAGATGGGACTCAGTGGAAAAGACCATGATGTTGGGAAAGACTGAAGGAAAAAGGAAAACGGGACAACACAGGATAAGAGGATAGACAGTATCATGGAAAAAACGAACACCAAACTGGACAGACTTTGATAGATTAGTGGAGGATAAAGGGGTGTGCTACAGTCCATGGGGTCACAAAGAGTTGGACACGACTGAACAATTCAACACCACCACTGCTATAAGCCAGGCACTATACTAAGCACTAGAAAAAGTGTCTGTGTGTATCTGACACAACTCTAAGAATTTGATATTTAGGTGTGGGCAGGATTACTTGGCTGTAGCCCTAGCTAGGTGGCACAGTGGACACTGACAGGCCTAGAATCAGGAACACTCATCTTCTTGAGTTCAAATCCACCCTCAGACATTTACTAGACATGTGACCCTCAGCAAATCATTTAACCCTGCTGGCCTCAGTTCTTCATCTATAAAATGAGCTGGAGAAAGAAACAGCAAGCTACTCCGGTATCTCTGTGCCAACAAAACCCCAAAAGGGTTGATGAAGAATCAGATACATCCGAAAAATGACTGAACAACAACCGGGCATATGGAATTGAGTGGTACAATGTTAACAGTTCTCCTTGAGGAAATAATAATTTATATTTGTGCATAAATGTGGTTATTTTAACTGTTAACAAATAACTATCTTAGTAACTACCCTATGAGTAAGGAATTTAAATTGTATACCATCTCTTTATACAAGTAAACTAAGGGTCTGAGAAGCAGAATGACTGGCCCATGATTAAACATCTGTTAAGAGTCAAGGCTAGAACTCAAACTCAGATCTTTTGACTCGAAGGCCAGAGTTCTTAAGTACACTGGGTAGTCCAAATACTAACTGATCAGTTACGCTTCCATCACAGTATACAAAATTGTAAAGAAAAACAGCATATATTAAATACAAAGGAAATGAGCTGAGCAAGGAAATCTTATAGGAAAATCTTGGAGAAATTGACTAGTTTCTGATGTCATAATTAGAAAAACAACACACACTCATTTGCCTGCTTAGGAGAAATAACAGTGACATACAATTTTTCTTGGAAATTTTCTCTTTCCATCAGTGTTATATTATTGTGACAAGGAGCTTAAGAAACACAGACAGAAAAACTTAGAGACCAAGAAATGTCTGATATAATAAATAAATAAAATTTCCTCACCATATTTCAGCAATAAAAAAAATTAAGGAAATACCCAGGTCAGATGGTAGTATTTTAAGAAATAAAAACAAATTCTTAATTTTAAATTATTCTTAAATCCATAATAGGGAAAACAGAATTCATGTCCTATGTTACAATTATATAAGGAGTAAAATTTAGTTATTGCATTTCATATATCTCTTATATTCAGCATTTCCTACTTTCTACATGTGATATATACATCACTGTAGATACACCACTAGGCTGAATAATGAAATGCCATTTACTCTATCTTGGCATTAAGCCAAGGCTATATAAGTTTTGGATACCAGTGGTATAAATTCTGCTACCAAGAAATTTCCAATACAGCTCATGAATAAATGCTTAATAAGGGATCCTGGAACATGGTATAGGCAAATATTTACCCTTGTTTGACGATAAGACCATAAATAGGTATATCAAGCCTAATATTATTAATCGGTTCCTCACCCACAATATTGAGCACAAAACATTACTGTTGGGTACTTTAACAACAATGTTAATTATGAAAACCCAGGATGGCAATGGGAAGCACAATGAAGCTAAGGAAAAATAATGGTTACGTACTGGCTTGGATAACTGCTGTCCTTCTGACCGTACAATTTTTGCAAGTTATTGAAGAGTGCTGTATTAATTTGGTGGGGTTTGGCTATATTCAGTATTAACAACGTTCTTGTGAATACTTTTCGTTATATACCTGTATCTACTTTCAAGTGCTAAATGGAACGAGCTTCTTCTCCCCTGGAGCATGTGTTTTAAAAAGATAAGTATCGAAAAAAAGAGACTAACTGTATAGCTTAATTTAACTTGTTCAAGAGATTTTACAATTAGATATTTACTTTTATCACTTGAATCTCCCAGCAAAATAGGAATTTTTTATAACAACGCTGTCTAAATATAATAAGTACCATACTGGAGGCTTTGAATGATCCTCAGAGAGACTAGAGACACTCTTCCTAATCACGTTCATGTACTATGAATTTTCCATATTTGAATAAAGTTAAAAATTTAAATTTTCATGTATGTAATTATCTTATACTCATAAAAAAGTGCATGAGAAGTGGGGGTGGGCACACAAACACTAGACCAAAATGTAAGCCAAGATATTTCCACAAACATACTATAATCAGAAACTGGACTAGGCAATAATTAATTTTCCTAATTGGTTCTACTTTCAGCTACTGAGAACAGATTGGTAGTACAAAAAATTAGGCTGTATTTAAATAGACATTTTTAGTATACCAAATAGTCTCTTTCAATATTATCAAGTTACCCCAAAAGCATTATCAGTTCGAATCAGAGGTGAGTAATGCTATCCACAATACCAAGGCAAGTATGAAACCCAAAAAGAAATTAAGATTGTCTTTTCCTGATTCCTCCTTGGTTATCACTTTTCTGAAGAGTACATAAGAGTAACTCAATTGATACAACCAAAACCCAAGAATGTCTGCTGATACATAGCTATTTTTTCAGAATTAATCTGCCTGAAAGCAGCCAGGTGGTGTGGTAGAATGGATCACGACACCAATAGGTAAGTGGGACCCTGGGAAGATCATGTTACTTCGACTTTTGGGTATTTCCTTTTCATAACCTTTAGATAAAAGACAACTAGATTTGCATGTTCACCTAGGAGTACTGCTAGCAACAAATTAAAGCATATTGATTTTAAAGTGCTTCACATAAAAGAATCTCTCCTTATTAGCTCCCTTTCTGTTGCCTACAAACATACACAGTATTTCCACATCCTTAAAAAAACAAATCTTCATTTTGACCATGCCATTCCCTCAAACTGCTGTCCTTGCCAAATCTCAAGAAAGTAGTTTATGCTAATTACCTTGACTGCCTTACTTCCCACTCACTTCTCAATCGCATGAAACCCTTCCGGTCACTAGGCTGAAACTGCTTTCTTGGCGTTACCAACATCCTCCCATGTGCTAAGTCTAATTGAGGCATTTTCTCAGTCTTCGTTATTCTTGACCTCTCTCAGGCTTTTGACATTATGAACTATACCTCCTTCCTCAGCTTTCATGACACTGCTCTGTCCTATTTCTCCTTTTACCTCTCTGGCTCTTTTGCAAGTCATACTCTTTTGAAATGTGGGTTACGTTTGATCCTAGACCATATTTTTGCCATATTCTTCTCTATAAGTATTCTCACTGGCTTCCATACATTCAATAATGATCTCTAAGCAGATGACTCCCCAAAATTGTACATTTAGCCCTAATTTCTCTCTTTTCAGCTACTATACTTTTTCACCATCTGTCATGTGGCTCTCCCTAATATGCTGGGTGGATTTCAAATAGAAATCATAGACTCATTATTTCTAAAGCACTAGTATTTATCTTCTTATACCTATCTCTTCCTTAAAACTTTTATTTTTGTTGAGTGAATAACTATCTATCTAGTCACACCTTGGAGTTATCCATGATTTACTTCACTCCCCTGTATCAATATCCAATCAGTTATCAAGTCTAACTTCATAGCATTTTTTCGATCCATTCCCCCTTCTCCACTTACATGGCCACCAACCTAGTTTAGCCTCAAATGACCTCTTGTTTAAATTATGGTACCTGCCCTCTAATTGGTGTTTCTACTTTCAGAATCTTCTGCTTCTCTCCAATCTATCATTTACACAGCTGCCAAAATCATCTTATGCAGGTTTGCTACCAACTCCACTGTTTGGAACTGAAAACCCTGGAAGTCTAGCTCCTTCCTACCTTCTTTCACGACATTATTCACTTAACACTCTCTACTACAGCCAAACTAGCCTCTGCCACGATTCTAGAACGTAGCATTACATCTCTTACATCTATGAATTGGCACAGGCTCTTTTCTACACCTAACACACACAATCTTCTTCCCTTTAGACTCTTAGAATTTTTAGCTTCTGGAAAGATTCAGATCAACTGCAATTGTTCTTAATCCCTCTAGGTATGAATGCCATCTCCTAACATCAAATTATTTTGTATTTACAAATCTGTATGCTCTAATAAGTTCTCTGAGGACAGAAATCATTTGTTTACTGTTGCATCTTTAGTTCCTGGAAAAGTACTTTGGACATGGTAGGCATTTCATGATTGTTTAATTGAATTAAAAGTAGAACCTTTAAAGTTAGGGACTAAAGCAGTTAAAGAACCAAGAATAGTGGTCAACCAACATTTCAATGGAATTTAACAATGCTCCAAATAAGCCAAAGTAATAGTAAGGTTCAATATTCACCGAAAAAGAAAATCAAATGGCCCCTCTTTTCCCTCTCTCTCTTATCCTTTTTCCTCCCTTCTCTCTCTTTCTAATCCTATTCCTATTCAGGCCCCTTAAACATTAACTAGCCACAATAGTGAAACAAAATATTTTAAGAACTTATCATGGTTATTGAGCTACTTCATTTTCTTCATCTTTTAAAAAGGGAGTTAATTGAATGTTTTCTATTTTTTTCTGTATAAAAAGTAAATTACTTTACTTACTATATGTTACCTGTTAACCTAAACACTTTAGAGGCAGTGAGGGGCAAAGTAAAAACAAAACAAAACCTGGATTTGGAAGCAGGGGTTGGTTCAAAACTTAGGGTTGTCACTTTTGTGATCCTGAGGCAAGTTATTTCACATCTCTAGGTCTCAGTTATCTTACTTGCAAAATGAAATAGTGGACCATGTGGCTTCTAATTCTAAATCTATGATCCCAAGATCATGGTGATACAACAGATTTGTGAAAGAGAATTAAAAGGGTTTTTATATGTATCTAGCTGTAGTCTGTCTTCATCTCAAGTAGTATACAGAAAACCAGTATTAGCCTATTTTTAGTTATCTTCATTATCAGAAAGAAGTAGTTATAAATAACTCAATATAGTGAGTAATTAAAAACTCATTTATATAACATGTCCTGAAAGTCTTGGTACGGTTCAAAGCTTTACTAACTTGGCAAAATTACATCAAGGCTTTTGAGACACCTTGTATTTGGTTTTAGAAAACAATCTTATCCCATCTCTCCTGAGATTTACCTTTCTATTTCTTTTTTGCTCAAAGTGATATTAGAATTACTTGCATTCTTGAGTGTACACTGATGTAAATGTTAGTTCATAAGGCAAACTCAGTTTGAGATTAAAAACTTGGTGATAACTGAATATACACAGATTCAGTGCTATCAAGACCTAAAGAAAATACAAAGCTATTTTTCAGCTACACAAAGGATACTTGTTGCTATTTTGGTGCTGAGAATACTACCATTAAAATGGTGAGGCTAAAGGAATTACTGAAAAAAAGTATAACAAGCACCACGTCCATGAAGTGACAATAGGACTCCCAACAAGCTAAAGAAAAAGATCCTACAAATTGAAACTGAGTGGCTATAGTTACAATCAAATAAAACCAACTCTCCAATAATGGTTAAATAAAAACTATACAAAAAATTCAATGTGCTAACTCCAATTGTTAATTTGAAGGTGCTGGCCATTAAGAAATGCAAGCAATATGAACTGGGAAGAGAAAAGAAAAAGGTTAGGTAATCCAGATCCAGGCTTTATACTTTTTGCTTTATTATGAAAAAAAATTTAAGTTATTAAAAAAGAACCTTACTAACTACTTCAAATCCCCATATACACATGTCTAGACTTAGATTTGGAACAGACCTTAACAAACATTTGTCCAAGATCCTCCTTTTATAGATAAGGGAACTAATGGTTGGATAAATTCAGCGATCTAACTAAGGTCACACAGCTGATCTGTGGCTGAGTCAGGTCTAAAACCCAGGAACACAGGCCAGTTCTTTTTCTACTACATGAGGCTACCCCCTACCCCACATGTTCTACATTTGGTATTAATGAAATTTTTAGTATGATGGGGAAAAAGTCATAATACAGATAAGAAAATAAAAATTGATTGTAATTTTGCTCTTTCTTAAAGACATTTAAGAATTTAGTATATGAATAACTAATAATAGTAATTTTCTCTCTCTAAAAAAACAAGGTAAGTTTTTATCTAAGTGAACTTAAAATTTCCATTTTCTGGTGTCTTAACCATAGAATAAAAAACTCTTCACATTCACACAGTGCTTAAAGTATTGCTAAAAAGTTTCGTCACAATCCTTGAAGGTAGTTAATAGAATATATTATCTTTCTTTCTATTTTACAGATGGGGAAACAAAAGCCTCAAGAGGTTAGATGACTTGACCATGATCACATAGACATCAAGCAGATGAAACAGAATATGAACCAAGGATTCCTGACTCCAGATCTAGCACTATTATGCCCAGCAGAGCATTTTCCATCGCAGGCACTTGATAACATCTGCTGAATGAATGACTCATCCCAAACATCATAAACACACATGGTATTCTGTCTCATAACACAATGCTAATGACCAAGAAACATCAGGAATTGGTTATTTACTTTTTTGGCTACCTTCATAAGATCTTCTTACACAAGCCCTCCTGTGTCAAAAATTCAATCTCATTCAAAACTTACTAGAAGTCATGTTTGTTGTCATGTAAAGATATAGCAAACGATCAACCTAAGAAGGCAAGGTAAATAAAGTACAACCATGAAAAAGCACAGCAATAAACATGCTTAACTAAAAAGAGTGCTGTAACCTTTTGAGAGAGAACTAACTTTTGGTTATGCTCACCAAAAAAAAAAAAGCATAAAAAAAAGCATTCAAGAAGATGCATAAAAGAACACTGGGAAAACTAGACAGCAATAAAATGTGTCCAAACAATTTTAAATACATAAATCAAACAAGGACAAGAAAAATTTCCACAAACTTACTCTTAGCACTGAATTTGTTTTCTTTGCGAGTTCTACCAGTTTTCTTTAAGCAATTGTCACAGACAAAGCTGCAAATAAAATCAATAGGTATAATTAGCAGGACATTTATACAGTGCAACATGTATTCGTTCAAGCGTCACATTACAAAGTATTTCTTTGTCTACCCAGATCTATGTATATTTCCTGAGCACTGAAAATCATTAAAAAACTCTTCAAGTTAATTCTTGTGGTTACTACAAAAGTAACTTGCACTAAAATTTGGGGGGCTTTGCACCTTTAACAAATTCTACATGAGATAAACACTAAGAAAATATAATTTAGAATAACTTATACAGTTTTCATCATGGACAACATCAGAAACAGATTCTACTTTTAATTTGAAAAGGCTTTCATTAACTTTCCTATCAGAATACAAGTCTGAGAATGAGAATGACTTACCCTGAAGGCCAAATAATATCATAGTGCAGAACACAAATCTGATGCATCTTCCGGCCACATTCCTTACAATCAACAAAGCTAGAAGAAAGAGGAAACAAATATTCTTGCAAGCAACTGTGGCTATTTTAATGTCCTTACATTGATTTTATACTCATTCTCTTGTTTATTTATAAGAGTCTGTGATCATTTACACATACTTTTCATACATCTTACATAATCAATATTTATCAATGAGGTAACATGTGGTGGACTAGACCATTTGCAGTACTTCTTATTCTCCTAATAATTCATGGGTTTAAAAATGAATGGAAATTATTATGTTTAGTTTCTTTTTCTTCACCAAATCAACACACATGTGGAAAGAAAAAAAAAGTTCCCAAAAAAGAACATGAAAATGGGCATGATTTCCAGGATGATGTTTTTAGGATGTTTTCAAGACAAATAGTGTTTATATATAAGTAGCTTCCACAGATTTAAAATGATTAATAAAACACTGCAAGGGAATTGCACTCTAAGGTTATTTATAAGCAAATATACTAAATCCAAAGATTATAGATAAGGAGTCCAGAAAAAGGGAAAAAAAAAAAGCTAAAGAGTGAAAGGCATGACAAGTAATACTACAGCCATACCATAAAGAGAAAAAGAAAAGGTCTACTTGAGGTATTTAAACAGGTCAAAAGGGGCAGCTAGGTAGCACAGTGGATAGAGCTCTGGCCTTGGAGTCCAAAGGACCTGAGTTCAAATCTGGCCTCAGACACTTGACATTTACTAGCTGTGTGTCCTTGAGCAAGTCACTTAACCCCGAATGCCACACCAATAAAAGAAAAAAATCCTCTACACAGGTCAAAAAATTAAGGTCTACTCTAGGTATTTAAATAGTTAAAGAATTGTCAACTTCTTGGCTTATGATGGGGGGGGCGCGGTATAAAGGCAAAAGAAAGATGAAGAAGCAACTGAAGGAGTTGTTGTTATTGTTGTTCAGTTATTTTTCATCTGTGTCTGACTCTCTGAGACTCATTTGGGGTTTTCTTGGCAAAGATACCAAAATAGTTTCCCATTTCCTTCTCAGCTCATTTCACAGATGAAGAACTGAGGCAAACAGAGTAAAGTGACTTGCCCAGGTTCACACAACTAATAAGTGTCTGTGACCAGATTTGTACTTAGAAGATAAGTCTTCCTAATTCTAGGTAGAATACTTCTACCCACTGTGCCACCTAGCTGCCCCAGATGAAGAAGACAACCTTTTAAATTTGAACTTACTAAGATGAGTTATTTTCATGATTAACTCATATTTCTGAAGAAATTCATGGTTAGCAAGGATTTTCTATTCTCATAACTACCCTTTGAGATAGTGTGTGTGTGTGTATAAAATTTTCAATTCCATTTTGAAAATAAGAAATTGAGGGAGTGAACTTCAGAGAGATTAAAAGTGAATTACCCACAATTACAAACAGCAATAAGTGGAGGAGCTAAGATTCAAATCAGGTTTTCTTAACTCCAAATTTAGTATTAACTCTATTATGCAATGCTATTCTCAATTAAGGACTCTCAGTTGAGGGTTTAAAAGTAAAAACAAACTTTAGTGATACCAAAAATACATGTGGCATTTATTCTTCTAAGGAAGAAACTAACAATGACAAAAACCTTTCCTGTCTACTAAGTAACACTATCTCATCTAAGGAGGTGTCTATGCATATGCTTTGCATACATATGCACTTTCGCATACAGCAAATTTTCTTGCTATCAGGAGATATTATAACACTTTGGGGACTGTTGGAAAAAGCCAAGTTTCTTTATTAAAGAGATTTTATAATTTAACTTACCAGAAAATACTATCATTATTTATCAAAAGGCATTTATTAAGTATATAATTACACGTGGCATTATGTTATAGTGTCCACAATGTCAGCACAATCTATTTAGAGTTAAGAATTGATCCTTTCCAAAATTTGAAAATGTCCAATTATTAAAAGTTGCACTTCAATTCTGAAAATTCCTACTGTGTAAGATTAAACACAATAACACTTTACAGATTTAATCAACTTTTTAAAATTGCCTACATCAGAGTCACTTTTGCAGTCTTCTGTGAAAGGGCTGTATAATTTTTCAAATTAGTATGATATCTTAACAAAAATAGTTTCAATTTATAAGCAGACTGACTTGGGCTTTCAGGATATCTTCTCTATGTATATGTGAACACCTATATAATATGGAGAGGAGGTAGAGACATGGAAATTGGAATTTTCGAGAGAGAAAACGGAATAGCATGTAATATAAAACCATTGGCAGAGGGGCCATTGTGTAGCAATGTTCTCAAGTAAGCAACCAACTGCTAATAAATACATCATAAAGTTGTACTTTTAAAGCAACTTGACTAGCATAAGGTTGTAATTTTATTGAAAAAGAGCCTAGAACTAAGGATAATCATAACTGCAAAAAAGTCTTAGAGCTCTTTAGTTAAATTTCATTTGTGAGTAAAATGAGATCCAGGGAAATGAAGGAAAGGGATTGTCAAGGTCAAACAAGGCAAGGGCAGGACAAGAACTAGATATGAGGCATCTAACCTCCCAGGCCTCCTCTGCTGACTATATCCAACTGCCACTTCACACACAGAAAACAGGGCAAGAGGCTTTTGAGAAACTGTGCAATGCCAAAAGGACAAGTTAACTAACCTTTTTCTTATTCTCTTCAAAATTTTTGCTTTCCTAACCAGAGATCTTTTGTTAAGTGTTCCTTAAGTATCAATTACAATGTCCTGTCAAATAGTTATGTGACCTAGAACTACTTGAAGTAAAACATTACATTCAAACAGAAGCTATATCTTTAAGCTACACAAATTATTGCCTCCAACACAAAATGGTTTCTTAATGGTGAGGGGCTAGTATTAGTCCGTGCTATAATAGATGCTCTATTAGTACTGAAAAAATATATTCTTTGAGAAAAGTGAAACAGTGCTTATATTTAAGAAACAATTGTACTGTAGATTCATGTTAGCGTAAGAAAAAATATTAAAGAAATCTCAACCACAAAGATGATATATTTCACATTTTTTAAAATACATGACATATAGCATAAGGAGAGGGGAAGACTTCTCCAATATCATGAACAGTCCTCTCTCAATTTAAAAATAAAATACCCAATCACCAAAAAATGGCTATATACTCACGGCTCAGGATCTAGTGTATCATTTTTCTTCTTTTCAAACTGATCCTTTGAAATAGTCCTTTAAAAAAATCCACCAAAGAAAGACAAGTCATTATCATGAAATGTTACCTGCTGCCAAATTTCTATTAGTTGGGGAATAACAAACCAATTAAAGTTATAGCTAATATTTATACAGTGCATTACCCTATATAAATCACTTTCTTCACAATAATCCTTTAAGGCAAGTAGTGAAACTATTTTACAGAAGAGCAAAGTGAAGCTTTGTTGAATATATATATGTAGGGTAACAAGGACAGTAAAAGGCAAGGGCCAGATTTGAATCAGATCTCCTTCCTTCAAGACTAGGACTCTTTCAGGATCATTTCTTCCACTAACTTTTGGTCAGGTATTCCTAAACTATCTGTTACATGAGGTATCTATCACAATAACCAATACATGTTTGATTAAAACAATTCTTGTAATCATTTTGCCACTGTTTGTGTATACCTAGCTAAGATAAATTGGACTAAAAACAGTAGGTGTTATACCACTTTTAAACTCTCTTAATTCTCACCAGTAGGTAGACTTCTTATTATTTATTATTATTATTACTGATATGTTATCAAGGATTTTGGTGTGAGAACGCCTCCCACCAAAGAAGATCAAAACCTATCTACAATGGAGTAAATAAGTCTTGTAGAATGGCCTGAGAATCAAGAGCTATAAGTGACTTGCTCTTTGTCACAAAGCTAGTAATAAGCATGAGGAGCAGGATTTGAACGCAAATCTTTTTATCTGTAAGGCCAAGGAAAGAAAAAAGGGGGAGACTGGTTATTGATATTAAACTTTCTATTCTAAGAAAAAAATTTATGGTACCTTTAAAATGAAGGTTGAAATTTATCTGTTTATTATATACTTTCCTAATAGCGCAACGATTTAAGGAATGGCAATGGTGATGTGACAGGTACATTATTCGCAGACATTTTTAAAGCAGATCTCCCTATATCCCAATTACTTTTTTAAACCAAAGAGGAAGCTAATAAAGAAAACACCCTTGATTTTCTCCTACCCCTCAGTCTATGGTATTCCAAACCAGAAACGGTTATTATTTACATGGTCCTATGGGTTGCTATTTATTGAATAATAATTTCTTCTGAATAGTCTCTAAGGAACAGTAAGTAACACCATACAGAGAGAAGCTAAGGCAAGATATACCTCATAGTAGAAGCTGTGGTTAAGGAACTGGGAAGAGACGTTTACTCGAACATCTAATTTTTTGAGAAGAAAGGGGGCACACGTGCGCGCGCGCATGCACACACGCACACACACACACACACACACACACGGTAACACATTTTAATTAAAACATTAATGGGATCTCCTTTTATTTAACAAACAGCAACTAATCAAGTCAGAAGTAGAACAGAATACTTGTACTTGACAAGGCTCTCCACACATGAGATATCACATCATCCAAAACTATAGAAAAATCATGATAGTACTTACGTCTGGGGCTGAGAAGGGTCGTCACCCAGGGTAACATTCTCCCCCTGGATCTCTGTGAAACACTTCTCACAGAAATGATACCTGTCAGCAAGAAGGCCATACTTGGGTGAACTGGTCCATCATAACACACAGCCACCCAAGCAACGAAGCCACCAATCAGAGCAGGGCAGATCACCACGACGAAGGGGGGGCGTTGTTGGTTGATTGATGGGTCAGTGAGGACAATGAAAAGGAACAGAAGGGGCAGGTGGGGAAGGGCAGGATTAGAGAACAGGGAAGGGAACAAATAGCACAGACATAAAGGTAAGACGCAAACACCAAGACAACACATAGCAGAAAGCCAAGGCAAAGCATTGATTAGCATTCGGTCTCATTTCATACATTACAGGCCATCATCACTAACAAATGATAGATTGTCAATCAGATTCAAAGACTTGGAATGATTTGCAGAATGCTGTTAATACTAAAGCTGTGTGTATCCTAAATTTAGGAATCTGAAGTTTGTTATTATTTAGAAAAATTTAAATGACTCCAGGCTTTGAGATTCAACAAATTTGCTTTGAACAGAATATTCTGCTTAGAATATTCTGATGTAGGGACTAAAAAAGTAAAGATTAAAAATAGCTTTTTTTTTAAAACAAAAAAATGAAATTTATGCTTGAAAAGCAAGCATTCCATAGTTTTATTCTCAATCTTAAGCCAGAATTTTAATAATTTAAAATGTATGAAAATGTTTAATACCCAGAACTGGTTTTTGCTTTTATTAATTTCATCAATTTGGTATAAACAATTACTATAACTGTTTAGCTCATTGAATTACAATACAAATGAAACCAAATCCATATTCTAGACAAACATTTAACAGAAATGCAACTGAGAGGGTCAGAGACTTTCCAGCCATTTATAAAAAAGTATATATGTGAAAATATTAATATATTGTACAGGCAATACAATATATGTAAGAACATGAACAATCTCTCAGGGCTTAAAATTCCATTCTGAACTTTAAGAATTTTGGTCCCGTGACCAATCAGTAGCCAATCTGAGATACTCAGCAATCTATTGCTGTAACTTGGTGGCAATCCAAATTAAGCAAATTTAGAGTATAATTGTAAAGTTACAATCTGCATTTGAAAAAATTATCTATTACACAATATTTTTTTTTTCCTTAAGATGATCTGGAGCTTGGGCCCAAGTTGTCAACTAAGGACGATTAAAAAAAATAAATTACTAAATGTTTGGAAAGGACATGATTTAAAACATGAATGAAAAATAAAATAAACAAAAATGCAGGTCAGTGCTGCAATAAAGCAGGGTGGGTTCACAAGAATACTGTCAAAATAAATAGGCTTAATGAAGGTGAATTTTATGAGCAAAGAATGAGGATAAGGCAGCAACGGCAGCACAATCAAATGCAGTTTTAGTGTTCAAATGCTACATCTAAAAGATGCTAAGAACGATTAGTATTAATGACAGTGTAACAAGACTCAGAGTGCCACACTGAACCAACAATTGCAAGATGAAAAAAATGGCAGCTTAGAGGTCCCCATTCACTCACTCACATACACATAGCTACAAACTATTGTGATCAAACTGCTTTCTTATGCTTATTTTTGTGGATATGTCATTTGTAGATTCTGATTCTATTCTCAATGAAAGTAGAAGACACTTTTTATTCATTGTCAAGCTAATCAAATGAAGCCAATAAATAAAATGTATAATTTTAAAAACATGCAAAGTGAGTCATACTTTTCACACTTGTTTGATGAGGAAGGAGAAAGATATAGGCGCTGCAGACAACATTAGCATTAGTGAAGATTACAAATAAAATCTTTCTTCCAAAGGCATCTCCTACTTATACTAACTCAGATTATAAATTCTGCCAAGAACATGAACTCTGGCCAGGAAAAAAAGAGATTAACTTTACTTAAAAAAAAAAAGCTATCTTCATTTTTATCATTCATCTATAGCAATACCCTGCCTAGTCACTCTTTTGTGAACATGTTTACATATCAAGGAAATAAAACCATACTGAAAAAAGACTTCGATTCCTTTAACACAACTTTCATGGAGAGAATGGCATTACCACTACTAGGTAAGAATTTAACAGTACTGAAACTACAAACTGACTCACCAACAGCCAGTACACTATGGTAATCCAGAGCTTTGTGTCATCAAATGTACCCCCTTCACAAAATAGTAACTGGAATTGGACATTCTAATCCATTTTTTGATCAAGCATACAGCCACTGAGGGCTAATGAAAACTGAGAACTTAACAGTCACCAAAACTATGCTGCTTAAAACAAAATTGTCATTGTAATTACATGTAAGTCTGAGTGATTTTAAGATGCAGTTAATTAAAAGACATGTTTTATGTTTGCACTGAGAGCACACTAAAAGAACTTAATTCAGCTAAATAACAACTGAGGGATATAATTATCAGCAACTTCATTTACCAAGTGGTCAGGCTGATGCACAGTTAAAAAAAATATATAATATAGTGGCCGGTGGAATGCCAGATACTGAATTGTTGGCAGGTCTTCTTGGTTCTCTACTTTTGAACCTACCCAGGAAAAATTAAGATGGCAAAAAACTGAAGAAATGACAGAGTGACAGAAACTGAAACCTAGAAGGACTAAGAAAGGTGCCTGCTGATTTCAGGCACAAAAAAGACATCTCAGAAATTTTATAATCTCATCTTTTAAAGTCCTACAAGTAAGCTGCCCAGCATGCACACAAAGGCTCAGAGTGAATTTATAAATGAAGAGCCTGGATGATATAATACATTATTTTGTGAAAAGCCTAATGAATATATACAGGAAAAATACAACTTGACATAATCTACTGTAATATATGTGTATGTATGTATATAAAAGTACAGAATATATATGTTGGTATCTGAACAATGCAATTACTTGGTGGCAACCTTGGTATAAGGAAAATTTAACTGAATACAAGTTTTCAAATGCAGATTGTTCTATGTACTTGTATCTTATTTGTATTTTCTACCTTAAAGTTGAATAAAGGTACTGATGTAGTTAGGAATCACAAAACTGCTAAGTGGAATTTATGTATCACCATTATGTATCATCTACACATAAGGCACCACTAACCTGAATTACTTTTAGACCTTTTAAAAAATGTTTATGAAAAAAATGAAAGTGCATATTCACACGTGTTAATGTTAATGTATTAGAGTATCACTTGATTATATAAATCAAGATCCTCTCTTTGAATTCTTAGTACACAAAAGCTTAGGATTCAGAGAACTCAGAATTATTTCTTAGGAATAATATCACAAAGTATCTACAAATAAGCAAAGCTGAGAATAAAAATGTAAATGTAGTCAAATTTTCGTTGTCTAACAAGGACATTATTTACCGAAATAACAACATATTAGACTTCCTAAAGGACATGCTGATGACTAAAATGCCAACCTAATTCAAAGAAATAAATTCTATATTCCAAAAAAGCATAGTCTCAAAAATGGCATTTCCATAAACTAGCACATCCCAAAATTCTGGTGAAAAGCCTATTCTAAAGAATAGAATATGATAAAAGTATATTAAATGCAGGTCAAAAAAAAAAAGAAAAAGAAAGAAAGAAAGAAGAAGAAAAGAAAACACTACACAATCAAAAAACATAACTGGGCATTTCATGGGATCATGAATTTGAAGATGAAGGAGACTTTAGAAAAAATGTGGTCTTCAGAAAGAAGGAAAGTGAAGCTTGGAGAGAAGTGAAGTACTAGCCAATGGTCATAAAATAAGGAGTAAGGAGCAGAAAAAGGATCCAAATCAATAATTCTCTGAAGTCAAATCAAATGTTGTTGCCATTAAACTAATGCTAGAGAAATTCTTAATACTCCTGTAGCAGTAATCTTAATCAATCAATTAATAAATATTTACAAGTGCCAATGTGCCAGGTGCTGTCAACAAATCACTTATTAATAGAAATATTCTATTCCTTCCCTATTGATTCTATAAAAGGGGAGGGCTTACTGAATTGAAATAAAACCAGTCTATGAAAACTGAACAAGTGGTCCAAAATAAGTGATGCAGGAATATTCAAAGTGACATGAGAACAATTTCAACTTGCTTAACAAAGATTAGCTTAAAAAAAAATTTAAGCCATTGTGAAAATGGCTTCAGCAGATATCTTTACGTATTAGGGTCAACCGAACCAGCAGCAACAGAAACACTACGTGCTCGGTTTCTTTTAAATTTGCTTTGGTTTAACTTAAATGTTGTTATTCTTACAATTTCCTCAACATTTTACTATTAACACCTTAAGTTTACTTCAAAGTACATTTTGATCCTTATAAGCTATTGTTCCCTTTTTACAAAGGAAAAAAATTGAGGCATAATGGAACAAAGTGGTATCAGAAAACTGGTACTGGAATACTGATATCGTGGTCTCTTAGCAGTGTCTTTTCCATTATTCCAGGATGCTTTTCACATCTTATTGGAACTAATGTAGTTTCAAAGCTTTAACATTTGACTTTTATTGATAAAAAAGATAAAACATACACTTTTAATTCCAAAAATGGGTCAAAATATTAACAAACACAGCTGCATGGGTCAAATTTCAATAACAGTATCCTTTGATGATGTACTTACGCTTTTTCAATGTGCTAGAATTTCATTTTCGTGAGTAATAGTTGAAATAAGTAGTCCAACAGGACTGAGAAATATTTATTAGAGACATGCTTGTAATAAGTGTTTAATATTAATTTGACATATAGCATATAAGCTTTTTTTATGAAAAAATATGAAATTTGGAATAAAATCAAATAAACAAAAACAGTAACTCAAAATCTCAGCCAAGGATCACGTAGGCCTATACTCATTTCTCTAAACAGGACAGGAAGAGGTCCAACTCTCCAACTAAGAGCTAACTAAAAGCTACCTTTTTTGAGAAAAAAAAATTTTTGTTATTAATTCCATTTGAGATAAAAATCACTTAAAAAAATCCATTTATGCTAAAGTCAATGCAAAACAATATAGCAGAAATGGATGGCAGAGACCTAACCATTGCTCAAAAATAATCCAGTACTAGTTTCAAAAATGGAGGTAAAAAGATTAACATTCTGGATTTGCTTTTCATTATGGACCATCACACGCTACAATAATAATAAACTAAAACACACTAGGAAATGAGTTAAAATCATAAAATTAAGTGTTTGCATGTTGCAAATGCTTGGATAACAAGAAAGTGAGAGAGAGAGAGAGAGAGAGAGAGAGAGAGAGAGAGAGAGAGAGAGAGCGAGAGCGTATAATTTTAAAATTTCCCTCAAGATTTTTAGTCTATTCTCTAAAACCATTATATTAAAAAATATAAATACTTATCAAATATATCATCTCAAACAACCAAAATGATAATATCAAAAGTTACTGTTGAAAAACAATACAATATTTAGATGGTTTTTGTCAGTGATACTTATTTAAAAGTTAACCAAAAAGTACAGACTTCTAACTGAAAGAAAAGGTAAGGGTTTGCATTTCTTCACTTCAAATTTTATCTAAGAAACATAAAATGAACCTAACCTTCACTATAAGCTTGTTCTTTAACATACCCCTCAAATACTAACAAGAAGCACACACTTAAAACTTAGATTCTTAGTCTTTTTTCTTCTGAATCTACTGAATTTTAGAAAGACATGTGTCCTAAAAATGAACATGATTTTAAAGCAGCGCAGCATACAATTCCATACTTGAATAACTTTCACAAGAGAAAACAACGTGTTAAAAGCTACAGAGAGCATGAGCTTGAATGAATGACAGTAAATTAAATTCTAAAGTGTTTCTGTCAAATGTTAACTGTCAGGCTACAAAGAGCATGCTTTGTCACAGGATCTTATTTCCTCAAAATATGCAGGAAAACTGCTGGGTGCTTACCTATTCTGGTAACTGTAGTAGGCAGCATCACGCGGAATTGTACATAGCTGCTTACCATAGCAGCACAAGGTCTGTGGAGAAAACTCATACTGCAAAACAAAGGAGAGAGAACTAAAACTTTACCACATTTACCTTCATCGCATTCTTAAACTGACTTTAAAGATTTAGATGCAGCCAAGCATATCTGTTAAAATTGTGCACAGTGCTGAGGAACTTTATAAAAGTGGGTTAATCTAATCAGTGCTTCTTAAACTCTGGGTCTCACCCACAGTTTAAGAAGCACTAAAGGGGTCACCAGTGGAAAAAGTTTAAGAAGCCCTGATCCAAGTTATTAACTGCAAATAGGTGAAATAAGGAATGGAGTGAGTGGAATAAACACTGATGGAGCACTTAAGTACCAAGCATTGTGCCAAGCACTTTACAATTTATTTCCTTGTTTGATCCTCACACCAACCCTAGGAGGTAGATGCTGTTATTATCTCCATTTTACAGATGAGTAAACTGAGACAAACAGAGGTTAAGTGATTTGTACAGGGTCACACAGCTAGGAATTGTCTGAAGATATGATTTGAGCTTAGGTCATCCTGATGATAGACTCAGTGCTCCATCTATCTATGGTACTACGTAGCTGCCTCTGTTCTAGTAAATAACAATTAGTTGCTCAATGCTTCACCAGTTTCAGAAGAAACTGAAATGGGACAGTCAAATTTTAAGACTGTATTTCCTCAAAATTCTTGCCCCAGTGACTTCAACTAAACTCATCTTTAACAAGTTTCTTGCAAAATGATTTTGCTCCAATTATTCACTGTAAAAATCACCAAAACTGGCCACCCCAATGGAAAATAAGAAAATTAATCAATCTAAATTACCAGGATGACCTGTACCAAAGAAAATGCACAAATGACAATCAAGAAAACATATAATGAAGAAAGGAGGTAAAAATAAGCAATACCAGATGGACAGCCATAGTTTACAAGAAATGCTATAAGGCTTAGAGGAAGATCTCCAACATGTTTGTCAGATATTCTCAGCAGCACAAGAATCATATAGGAGGATAAGACATGAATGAGTTGAGAATGGTTGGAAGCAGTAATCCACACTGATGACATCAGAGACTCACTGAAACATTTAAGTAACTTAGACTTTAGGATCCGGGAGGGTCCGTCCAGTAGTCCAATGCCCCATTTTATAAATGGAAATTCCACCAGAAAGTTGTTGAGAGAATGTCTTATTTCCTAGATTATATAGAGGTTGTAAGAAGAATACTTGGGAAGAATTCTTTGAATCTGATAGGGTTCCAAAAGTTTTCTGAGCCAATCTACTTAACCTTAATTTTTATAAATTTTAGCCACATGCATTAAGAGTGACTTTTAGCTTGATTAAGCAGGAAAAGTTACTTTTGTAGCAATAAATAAAAATTGTACCTTGCGTCCACAGCAGTATCCAAGGGACTGCATAACAGGGTCAATTTCTTGTTCGAAGACCTCTGCAAGTTTAGTACAAAACTTATAGACTCTGGAAGTCTTACGATTGTAGAGCCAGGCATTGTTAAACATTAACCAAACATCATCCACGTACTGCCAAGGCTCTTGGTATTGCCCTGTATCCAATTTCTCTTAATAGTGGAAAGATCCATAGGGTTCTTCACAATGTCAAAATAATCCTTTAAAACACAAGAAACATCATCCTCTTATTGTTAAGATTATCACATGGCATGATGTGATCATTTATGACATCATGCATATTAATATCCCTAACAAGGAAGTCAACAGTGAAAAATTATATCACATTAAATGGGACTTTTAATAAAATAGCCATTAGAATTGGGTGTTTCAATGCCTGAGAAACACCTGTCCATAGTTCCAGAACAGTTCCAGATGTCCATTTCCCCACTGAGGGAAAGAAGGAGGAAACAAGCATTTAATAAGCAACTATTAAGTTCTAGGCACTATGCTAATCACCAAGATAATATTACAAATATTATTTCATTTGATCTTCACAACAATCTTGAGAGGAAGTAGCTAGTATCTCCATTTTACAGTTGAGCTAGCTGACGCAGACAGAGGTTAAATGACTTGCCCAGCAAGTTAAGTGTTTGAGACTGGATTTCTTACACCAGGGTCAAGTTTTCTAGACATTTTGGTATCTAACTGCCAACACTACAATAAGAAAAAAAAAACAATTTTACTTCCGTTGGAGAGGGAAAACTATGCCACAAAAAAAGAATAAAAAAAAAACTAACCTTAATCTTTACTGTAAAATTGAAAATGTCTACTAAATATTAGAGTATAACATTTTCATTTTAGTAATCACTTGAAAGAAAAAATTAGACTGAAAATGGAAGATTTAAATAAAATTAATAAGCTTTTAATTTAAAAGTTTTCATCAACTAAACAAAATAATCAAAGAGCTACATAAAATCTACTTTTCAAATTTTTAGCACAAATGAGACGTTTACCAAGAGTCTTAGCACAGCATAACATGATGCTGTGGTAATAAAAGAGAAAACTGATTGTCAATACCACAATAGTCACTCTTTAGCAAAACTTGATTCAATGCAGAGGATCTAGTCAATAAAAACACTAAACGTCTCTCAAAGCTATCACCCTTTTAAGGAAGTACAATTCTACTGTATGAAAAAGCAAAAGAACATTGCAAAAAGCTGCTAGTGTATTTTGACTTAAATGAATACCAAACTTTAGAAATACTGCATTGAAGAACTTTCTAATAACATCAGGAATTAGTTAAGAAAGGTGGAGGATAAAGATTTCATTTTTAAATTTCTCAGCAACTTTAGAATTGCTGTGAATAAAACCAATCATAAATTCCATATATTAACAAATGAAAAGGAAAGCTACTTCTTGATATCCACTTGAAAAAAATTCTTTAAGTGAGAATGCATTTTCAGTGTCAACTTACTGGAATTCCCAGGAGCTGAGGATCCACAGGCTGCCTAAAGGGTAAGGACTCCGGATCTTGTCGATACAATGCTTCTAATGTAGGCATGAGAGCCTGTCGCAACTCTTCAGGTTTAAAGACTGGCAGAAAAACGACAGAAAAAGTTAAATGCTGAAAAAAGTTTTACTTAGAACCTTAAGATTAAATCACATTTTTAGTGATAAAGTGAGTCACTCAATTTTTAGATACTTAACAGGTTTAATGAAATGACTGTACAATGAAATAGTGATATGTAGTATACAATACAATATATTAATCAAACATAAGTACTAATACTTAAGTCCAACAAACTGCTCCTCAAATTGTCTATATGATGCTTTTTCAAAACCTTTACCTCCTAAATGGAATGAGATTCCTGGTATAGTATAAAAACTATAAATTCCATTCCAGAGCTACAACTCAACCTTCTTATAACTACTTCTGATCATAAAAAATAGCATCCAGGTCATAATATATATATAGTGCATACAAATATATTCTTTTATATTCAAAGATTATCTCATCTTAGGGGCAGAGGACATAGTTGGGAGTACAGTGATCTACATTTGAAACAATACAGTTCCTAACCACCATGAATATGAGGTACAAAACCTATCCTAATGTTAATTCACTATTATAAAGAGGGATCAAATACAAAGGACTTCATGTAAAACCATATTTGTAAGACATCTGTCACTTTTCTCAATTCAGTAGATATTTTTGAAATATCCATTGTGTAAAGGCCCTGTGACAGATATGGAGGATGCAAAGAAAAAACAAGACAAAACAATCCTTATCCTCAAGGTGCCTCCAATCAAAGGAATAAGGAGAAGGGAGAAGAGAATATGTATACATGCTCCCTCACACTCCTTCATGAATTATCTTCTATGTGTCATGGGTAATTCAAATAGTCTACTGCTATACAATTTTTAAATGTTTTACTTCTTTAATTAAATGGTGAACTCCTTGAAACATAATTGTCTGTTCTCAGCATCAAGCATCAAGTTACACAAAATAAGCGCTTAAATATTTGTTTAAATTTGATTAGGATGTAGTTACTGTTTTCTTCCCCCCAGACAATGATCTTATTGGTTTTTCTAGTCACATTTCCTGATTTATAAAGTTCATTCCTCATACCAATTCTGTTAGGTAGGTAGTTCAAATAATTACATTCATTTTATAGACGATGAAAAAAAGGGGGGCTCAGAAGGTTAAGTGACTTGCTTAATGTCACATACAGGCACCAAGACTTGATGCCTGTATTCATCTTATATTCCTTTCTTTACCACTACTATTTGCATTTCTTTATTTGAGGCAGATGTGATCTCTAAGAAGCTTTTTAGCAATAAAACCTAGCATCCTTTAACCTCAGTCTAACAATTTTCCCTGGGGCAACTAGGTAGAGAAGTGGATAGAGCACTGGGAGCTGGAGTTAAGAAGACCCGAGTCCAAATACAGTGTCAGACTTGAACTAGTTCCGTGATTCCATGCAAGTCACTTAGCTTATTTGTGCCTTGGTTCCCTCATCTGTAAAATGGGGATAATAATAGCATCTGCCTCCCAGGGATGTTTTTAGGATCAAATGAGATTTTTGTAAAGTGCTTAATGTAGTAGATGCTTAATACATACTTGCCCTTTCATCCATATCCCTTTCTTAATGCAACCTTTTAAAATCTATCCAGTAAAACTGACAAATAAAAACAGTAAGCAAAACCAAAAAGCTACACATGTCCATAAAATACCATTTGGATAGGAATGACAGTCATAACTAGCAGAAAATCATTTATTTTCATTTCATCTTTTAGTAGTTTTTTTTTTAATTAAAGCTTACCTATCTTCTCCAATTTTAATCTATTCAAATAAAATTCTGTTAAGTTTTTCTCAGCATATCTGTAAATGCTTTTATGTGTACTTTAAAAGCTGGCTCACTGCTATTCCCCTTAAGAATTCTACCCTCACTGACTGTTCCACTTGTACATTTATCCCCTATATATTTGTTAGTACTGTCTCTCTTAGCTTGTTTAACTAGAAAGCACCCTTTTAACACTGATTGAATGATATCTAACACCATTAATATGAAACCAAGGGCTTAAACAATTCTTGATGAGGAAGGAAAGAAGGAAATAAGCATTTTTCTTAAGCACTTACTATGTGTCAGGACTGTGCTAAGTACTTTACAAATACCTCATTTGATTTTCACAGCAACCCTAGGAGGTAGCTATCATTAGTCACACTTCCTCATTAAGAAAACCAAAGTAGACAAAAGTTAAGAGACTTGTGTAGGGTCACACAGTTAGTAATTGTCTGAGGCTAAAATTGAATTCAGGTCTTCCTGATTCCTAGCCCAGGAGTCTATCTACTCTACTACCTAGCTTTCTCTGAGAGGACAGAATAAAAAAAAAAATAATGAAAAAGTGAGAAGGGCCTGGATGTTATGTTAGCTAATGATGAGGTGGTGTATTTGACACCACTATATAAAGTTCTGGACAGTAAACATAAGATTTCTACTCCCTAGGAAAGGGAGAAAAAGAAACTTCTAATAATATGTCACAAATGTCTCTAAATGTAGCCCTCACTTTCAAACTTCAGTTGATTGGTTGGCCCTTAATAGATGCTTTTTCATTCATTCATTAAGCAGATCACCTGAAATCTCACTGCTACGTTGACTGATTCAGTTTTGAAATTCAACACCTTCTCAATTCTCTCAGCTGCCTCTCCCATCTGATTAAGGGCTGGAGAGGAGAGCAATAAACTCCTTCCAAAGCCTTCCTTTATAGAGAGCTCAGAACTTTGCAGGAAATTCTCTATTTTCCTTCAGCAGCTTGCTTTGTTTCTGCTCCATCTTCCAGACCCCTTTTCTGCTTCCTTTTGCATGCTGTCTTTCCTCATTAGACCATAAGCTCCTTAAGAGCAGGGACTGTTTGTTTTCCTTATTTGTATTGCTAGGGCTTAGCATGGTGGCCAGCTTAATAAATGTTTGAATGAAATGAAGTCATTGCAATTGCTTACCAACATTTCCACTTGTTCTGGTAGCTCAAACCAATTATATCTAAAAAGACCCTCAGTCTTTCCCTCATCTCCTCTCTTGATTTTACTATTTTAGTCAATGGGATCAGTACCTCCTTAGCCATTAAGAATTAATACCCCAGGGGGCAGCTAGGTGGCGCAGTGGATAGAGCACTGGCCCTGAAGTCAGGAGTACCTGAGTCCCAAGTCAGCCTCAGACCAAACACTTGACACTTACTAGCTGTGTGACCCTGGGCAAGTCACTTAACCCCAACTGCCTTAAAAAAAGGGGGGGGAGGAAAAAAAAAAGAATTAATACCCCAGAGTTATGTAATTCCTTAATTTCCTTATCCCTCTTAGTCACCAAGTCTTCTCAATTTTTCCTTTGAAATGCCTGTTAGGTATACATCTACCCAATCCTTTCTGGGGTCACCCCAGCTTCTATCACTGACCACATGGACAGATTGTTCCCACAGATTCTGAAATGGTTTTCCTATTTCCAATCTTTCTGCTCTCTTCCAAGCTAACATACATGTTACTGCTAGATAAATCTTCCTAAATATAACTTTGATCAGGGTAGTAAAGGCTCTCCGCTACGTAAATGATGGAATTCAAATGTTTAGCCCTTAAGAATCAACATTCAGGACCTACTTTTGTAAACATCTTTCTTACTACTTCTCCATGAATACTCTGTTCCATTCTAATTGCTATACTTTCTGTCTTCTACTCTGATTCAAAAATTACCAATCCTGAAAAGTCAAGCTAAGGAGTTTAGTCCGTCATGAAACCCTCCGTAATAAATCTAGCCAAATGTGATTTCTCCCTTTCTTGATTTCCTATAGCACTCATATCATTCCATTTGACATCTCTTATTATCACAATCTTAGGCTACTATGTAAGAATTTTTTTATGTCTGTATGTCTTATCTCTCAAATTGAATTATAAAACACCTTGAAGGTAGTGATTGTTTTATTTTTTGTAATTCCTCAGTAACTAGCACAGTGATTTAAAAATAACATGTTAAATAAATACATATAAAGAAATAAATGCAAATAGCAGTATAAGGAAGAAAAGGAACTCCACTTAATTCAATTAGAGATGTTCGTTGCTTGTAGGCAGTCAATGAGCCACAGAAAGTTTATGGTAAATGAGAAGGTAAAGGATTTTTCTCAACGAGGAGAACTGGTTGAGATTAGTAGATGTCAAGATGTGTGTTGCATGTGGAAAATAGGAATAAAAAATAAAGAAAACTTGTTTTACTTCTCTACCACGTATATTTTCCTTAATAGCGTACGATTCAGTTCTTTACTTAAGTGTATTCCCTATTTTCATTAAAATAAGCTTCTAGACAAATGAAGTTATGCAGAAAGAGGGGTGGGGAATGGAAGGTGAGGGGACAAGACAACAAGGAAGATGGGGATATTTAATTTTCCTAGCTTCTAATCCTTAGAGAGGGATTACAGGATAGTGTGGATATGTAAATCTACCTACTTTTTTTACGAGGCTGAGAAGGTGATGTGGACTGGGTAGTTGTGCCATTATTACTACTCTCCTCTTCTTCCTTAGGTTCCACTTTTACTTCTGGTTTCTTTTCTTCTACCTCCATTGGTTCCTGTTTAGGTTCTGTTACATCGGTTTCTTCTTTTACCTGGGAAGACCCTTGTAAATCCTCTTCCATCTTGAAAAAAATTGAATTGTGAAAAGAAAACCAGAATTTTAGACAGATTTTCCAAAATTTATATGCTTGTAAAAACTTTTACCCAAATAGAAATTTTTCATCAAGTCCTATGTATCCATAATCATATGCATGATGTATTTTGTAGTGAGGATACAATGCATTACATTCATGATAATGCGATATCTTATCTGGTCCTAGAGGCCTTACCTGATCAACTCCTAAAATTTATGATACTATTTAATTTCTCTCAAGACCTAGGACTAAATTATTATTTGAAATGAATATATGCTACTCATTTGCTGCTATTCAGGCATTTTTAATGTGGAACAGGAATATATTTTATTAACAGACATATGATAACACTACCTGCTAGTCTGGGATAATAACAGAATATACACTACAAAGTCTGTATCAGAAGAGCCGAAAATAAAAAAGAGGGAGAATGAATTACTTTAAGTTAGAGCCTGGCTTAGATTTCAAACTAGAAAATATAGGAGTAATGTAGCAAAATTTATAAATCCACATATTGTATTTTTAAATCCATATTTTCAAATATAGTAAGTAAACTAAATGAATTACACAGCTTTAGTTAATAAGCTTTTACCGGACATTTTAATGACGCTATATCTTATAAATTTTGGTATCACATCATACTTACTAATTGCAAAGAAGTTATACACACCTCAGCTCTAGATTCCCCCTTTGTTTCACTAGGATCAGGCTCAGTTTCTTCAGGTTTGCTTTCTGTTTTAATTTCCAGCATTGGTGCATCAGGTCCAGGCTGTTGGGAATTGGTTTCTGCACTAGCCACTGAAGCTGGAGTGGGAACTCTATTTTCAATGCTAGCGGCTGCTTGGGAAAGCTTTGAAACAAAACATACAAACTAAAATCAGAATATAAATAGAGTATTCACTTATGCTTGGAGAATAAAATAAAGGTAAAGGTCATTTGAAATGATCAAGGTATACATTGTACATACTCTTAATGACAACAGATATAATGAATCACAAATTTTTCAGATAAAAACCTGAGAGAGTTTTAAGTCAGTGAAAGTTACCAAAAGAGACAAGAAAAATCTACTGTTCCTGACTGAAGCTCAGATATGAACACAGAGCCAAATGTAAAGCTTCTGTTTGGTAGAGACACTATGTTACATGGTTTTATGCAATTATATTAAAAGGGAGGTACTGTGGGGAACAAGGCTGAAGTGTTGAGAAGTGTCAGCTGTGTCAAAACAAAAATCATGAATTAAAAAAAGTTTTAAAGACATAAATTTTTTTGTGAGATTGCTGTCAATCACAGAACTAGCTACCTCAAAGTGAATTTCACCCAATAAACCAATATTGAAGGTTTACAAATTCTATATTAGTGAAAGGATAAGATAAAGAACAGAGCAAACATACATATTAGAGGAAAAATCAACAGGGTTACCCTAATCATGCTTAACTAATCTAGTAAAAGTGGGGATAAATCATCATGTAGGCAAGAGGGCATTTTTTAATTTCCAAAAACCTGCATCAAAGTTCCACTTGAAAATCTTAAAATACTGAGAGATTGTCTTAGGCAATACAGAATGAGGATAAAAGGGCATGCCTGCACAGGGAGGGAAAAACCCTTAGGAGTATCCCACAGATAAGGCCTAGCTGAGCCTGATTTTATAAATCTGTGATACCTCCAACTTTTCAGGTGGTACAAGATTCTTTCCAGTAGTACAATGATACCATGCCAATGGATAACACATATTGAAAAAGCTCAGAAAGTCAGAAAAGTAGTGAAGAAAAGTGGCAAATGAGCTTTAATATAGGCAAGTTAAAAGTAATAATGTACTTACTAAAAAATATAATCCAACCACAAGCAAGTAGGTGATATAATGGATAAAGCACTAGGCCTAGGAACAGGAATATCTGAGTTCAAAACCAGCCTCAGACATTTTCTAAATGTGTGTGACTCAGTTTGCTCAACTGTAAAATGAGGATAATAACAACAGCTAACTCCAAGGGTTGTTGTGAGGATTAAATGACAATTATCTGTAAAGCACTTAGTACAATGGCTGACACATAGTAAGTACTTATTATATGCATTACCACTTCCTTCTATACTTAAGGCTATTTTCAAGATACAATTTCCAAATACAGGAAATGGACATGGAAAACTGATGGGTTATTCTCTGAAAACAGAGATTATCCTATCCTGGATGAGAAAAAAAAAACCAAACCCATGGTCTCTACTTGTATAAATTCAGCATACATTAGGTCACTGCACCATAATAAAGACATACTGATGTTGACTAGATAATGTATTGTGAAGAGCACCTAAAATAAAGAGATATGAGGCTCCTATAAGGAAACAAAATATAAACCAGGCTTGTTTGGCATGAAAAGGGAAACCAAAAGACATGACCAGAGGCTATAAAAGCCATGAAGAATATATAGTGGGATTCTATTTTTTCTAAATAATATTAATAACTACATAACAATGTTTGCTTACTAGAAAGAAATAGAAATAATAAATTTGTTCATCAAACCCTGGCATATGAATACTACGAAATACCCCTTGATGCTTAAAAGACACAGATTTTGGATTAAATACTATTTTACAATAACTGAGGGCTATGAAATTTGTTAAAAATATAAGTAACTTTACAAATGATAATGCATTCCCACTATATCCCTTGTTGTTACTGTCTGGCCATATCATCTACTGCTTTCATACAAAGATTACTCTTTACATGGAAAATTTGTTTCCTTAGCCTCTCTGTATTTGGGTGATTTCAAAGCATACTCACTGGAGTGCCAGGAGGTTGAGCATGCACAGATGTTGGCTGTTGCTGAGATGGCTGTGGGGTGGGCACAGACTGAGGCTGTACAGGTGTCTGAGGCTGAGGTGTTACTTGGACCTGAGCTGCTGCCTGAACTGTGGGGGTACTTTGTGTTTGAGTAGCATTAGGTACTGAGCCCGGAGTTGGGGTGGGTGTCTGTCCTGAAGAAGAAACTGGCGTTGAAGGTTGTGTAGGGGCTGCAGGCTGAGGAGGAGTCATTCCAGGAGGTGTCTGATGTTGGATAGGCGGCATGCCAGCTGCTGTAGAGACTGGAGGCGGAGTCTGATGCAAAGGGGACTGGGTTACTGGTGGACAAGGTAACTGACCACCCTGTGGACCCAATATATTCATGGTGTTAGGAAGAGGAGTGTTGGGCACTTGTCCCTGCTAAAGAAAGTAGAAGATGTTAATATCTTTTGTCTTCCAAGGGGACCTTAGAGATAAAATCATTTCACAAATGAGAAAACTGAAGACTAGAAAAGTTAAGTGATTTTAGATAAGGTAGGCATAACAGACCATACTCAAGAGTTGGGAGAACCAGGTTTGACGATATCTAAGAATCTTAATAGCTGTCTTCAGGGCTTAACACCCCTCACAAATTAATTTTCTTCACACATAAAAGAGAGAATATATTGCTTTACCTACCTACCTCAAAGGACTTGTGATACAAATGTTTTGCAAACCTTAAAGTGCTATGTAAATGTGAGATCTTATTATTTTTCTTCAAAAAGTCACATAGTGTATGAGTAGGCAAATCCCTAGGATTAGAATCCTGGTCTCTGACTCCTAGTTCACTGTGCTCTCTACTACAATACCATATATGGAAACAAAAATGAATTAAATTCTAGAAAGGTAGGTGTCCATGTCTCAAAAAATATAATTATACTCGTCTTAAACAATGGTAATTTGGTACGTTGTAAGGGAAAGAAAAAGTAGTGGGATTATTTTTTTTAACAGATTTAACTGGAATAATTAACAAGAAAAACTACTTTTAACTCAATAAACCAGTTATCACTAATTTGAAATATTATATAAGAGAAAGTGAAGACAAGGAGGTGCTGTCCATATTAGAAATTTCTTCCCTTAGCATTAAAGGCTCTTAATAACCTGGCTCCTATCTATCCAGACTTATTTCAACCTATTTCATACCTTGTTTTCTTGGCTTTGGCCAAAATGAACTACTAGCTTTACCCTGTACACATCTGATACTCTCCAACCTACATTATTGTTCAGAATTTTGTCTATCTAGGATGCCCATGAGCTCTGTATGTTTGCCTTTTAAAATCCTATGCATCTTTCTACATCCAGTTGAAAATGTCACTTCCTCCATGAATTCTCTTTCCTCTCCTGGGACTCCCAAAACGTTCTGTTTGAACTTTATATTCTATTTTGTTTTAGAGTTATGCACATGTTTATGTATTCTGCATATCCCTTGCTAGACTGTGCTCAATGAGGGCCATAAATCCTTTATTTAATCTGTCTCCCACAGAGCCTAGACTGAAGTGGGGGAGACAAGAAAAAAACAAACAAAAAAGAGATTCACTCAGAATGAATTTAAGGGTCTCTTTTTCACAACTGTTCATTAACCTAAAATTTGCCAAGCTCAGAAACGATCACTTAACAAAGATTAGATTGTCCTTTTAAGCTTCTCCAATACCTCCAATTAACCTCTGCTTGTCTTAATCTGATGGAGAAGGAAATGGCAAACCACTCCAATATCTTTGCCAATTTTGAAAGCCCCATGTACAATATGGTTCACAGGGTCACAAAGAATCAGACACAACTGAACAACAACAACAGTCCAAATTGAGGCTGCTTAAATAAAGTTACCCTACAACAGTATCATATAAAGTGAACCCATAAAGAGATTTTTAACAATTCAAGATAAGTAACAAAATTATTCATTGAAAGTTCATTCAATTTAACACTGAATAACCAACTAAGTAAAACACATAGAAAAAACGGTAACAAACAAGCTAACAAATATGTTTTAATGATACAATCTCCAAAAAAAGTAATGGGATTTAAGGAAGTAAGACTAAACATGACCTTCATCTAAACGCTATTAAAAATCCTTACTGTCATTATTAATTTTACCTGTGCTACTCCTGCTTGTGCTGTTGACTGACCCATTCCTACACTGTTGACATTCATAGCCCCACCAGATGATGGAAACTGATTTTGTGGCAAGAACTGGCTCTGGGCAGGAGCCTGACCCATCAAGTTACTGGAATGAGCTCCCATCATGTTCTGTGGTTGAGGCATTCGGGAAGGAGACATTGCCATCTAGAAGTAAACAAATAATGCATGACAATAATTTAAAAGTTCTAAAACACAGTCTTAAGAGATCAAAATTCCTCTATTTTGATATAATATACCAGAATCCTGGAATGTCACAGTTGGAACCTTGAAATGAACACTCATTTTATCAAGGGGGAAACTGAGGCCAAAGATGAGAAGAGACTGCTCCAAAGTTAATTAGAGTTGGTGACAGTGCTGGAACTAGAGATGAACATCAAACTGTGATTTAGAGTTACAAATACTGCTGTCTCATCATTGAGTTAAGTTTTTAGAAAGCATCAGATGGAATTTAAACTTTTTAGTGCCAACACTTTCTACATATTCATTTATTCTAATAACATGAGAAACTTTTCATTCCAATTTCCACCTCTTATATTCCCATAAGATTCAAAGTTCTTTGATTCTGTAATAACAGTGAAAGTATTTTAGTTAAGAGATCTTACTAGGACAGAGAGAATCAAAGAGCTGGCTTTAAGAAAATTTAAACTGCCTTAAATTCAAAGGAACAGGTGTCATGTTCTTTAAACAGGACCTAAACATAACTATTTTTAAGTCCTCTATTTAAAAAAAATCAAATAAATTCAAAGTTCAATTAATCAATATGGTAGAAAAGTATGAACATTTAAGAATTTCAATACAAACCGCTGGAACAGAGCCCATGTTGTTCATTTGGACAGGGTGATTCATTGGGGAAGCAGCCCGTGGTCCCATGGGTGCCTGTGACATCTGAACATTTCCTATGGACAATGGATTAAACTGATTCATTCCTATAAAAAAGCACCAAAAACAGATTATTAGGAAATACATCAACATGAAAATAATCTACTGTACATTTCCTACTAGGAATAAATGCAATAAATAAGCAAAATAAAACATGAAATGGTCATCACTCAACCTAAATTTTCCTTATTGTCAAAGAATATGTTGACGTTTAAATACAAATGTTTAAAAAAAAAATATGGGGAGAGGAAAAGGTGGTGATGGAGAGCCACATCTTATTTTTCGAAGTTTCCAAAATGAAAAAAGAAGTATGAGAACTATGGGATATAATCTTAAATCGTGGTGGAATGGGCAGAGAGGGACAAGGAAAGTAAGATAAACAGTGAAAAATTAGAATAGCAAGTGGAAAAACAGAATAAACCTCCAACAGGGAAGAAATACCAGGAAAGAATGAGAAAAGCATTAGATAGGAAGTAATAGAAAAGGAATATAATCTGTCAGAACAATCTCTGAATGGTTTGTATGATAGCTGGGGATCATTCTGATAAGAGCAAAGAATCATAAAAGCAAATCTATATCAAAAACCTCTGAAACCTAAGTCCTGTCTGCCATAATTACGTATTCAAGAAAAGTTGAAACATTTAGTAAGCACCTGACTATATGCAAGGTACAGTGCACGGTATTCAGGACATAAAAACAAAAATCTCTGCCCTTTATAAGTTTACTAAGGTAGTGAAGAACATGTACCAATTAAGTAAACACAAAGTATACTTGAGTAATATAATCCAATTTCAAGGAGAGAAAATTTAACAACTAGGGGTTGAGAATTACTAAAAGGGTGTTGAAGCAACAGAACTGTGCTTTGAAGATATCAGGGATTCTAAGAAGAAAAGGTGAAAAAAACACAATGATTTTCACAATGGAGACAACCTGTGCAAAGTTAAGGAAGAAGGAGATGGGGATAGAAAATCACAGTTTGTATATGGGCAAGTTTGACTAGAATGAGAAGTTAAGTCAAGAAGTATTTAGGAAGTGTCTACTTGTGTGTTATGAACTGGAGTAAGGGGAATAAGGTAAGAAATAAGACTGTAATGTAGGTGGGAGCAAAATTTTGGAGGGTGTTAAATGTCAGACCAAGGAATCTGAATTTAGTAACAATTGGGAATTTTTAATAGTGGAATGACATGGTTAAATATCTGCTTATGGAATTTCAATTTTGCAGCTGTGCAGAGGATAAATTGGAAAGGTAGCAGAATGGTAAAAGAAAAATTAGGGAACTAGTGCAACCCAACAGGTGAGATGATGAGGATGGAGACTACGTGAGTGAAGAGAAGGGGACAATGTTGTGGAAGTAAAAATAAGACTTATCAACCAACTGGATATGTGGGATGGAGGCAAAGAAGAGAATGAGAAAGAGACAAGGACAACACCAAGGATAATTACAAGAATGATGGTATCTTCAACAAAAACACACAAGTTTACAGTCTGAATTCTGACATGGAAAAAACAAAAAAATATTTCTGATGAGGGATCTCAAGAAGTTGATGTAGATGTTACTCATATATAAGAGTGTAGGCAAAAGCTAGCAACTCTGATTTAAAAAAAAATACATATTTTGCTTCAATGAAGGGAGTACTGAAATTGATAAGATCTCTTATCCACTGAAGTATATGAACACCAACAGCAGCTAACAGAGGATAACTGAAAATAGTGGTGTGGCGCCTATAAAAATGTTTTAAGTAGTACTAAAGATCAGAATCAACTAAAGGCTGACCATGAATGCACACAAAACAATGGCTTTTGAAACTATATTGAGATAAATGTTGGAGAAGATGTGGGAAAATTGGAACACTAATACATTGTTGGTGGAGTCGTGAAAGGATCCAACCATTTGGAGAACAATTTGGAACTATGCCCAAAGGGCTACAAAAATGTGCATACCCTTTGATCCAGCAATAGCACTTCTAGGGCTATATCCCAAAGAGATCAAATGAATGGGAAAAGGACCCACATGTACAAAAATATTCATAGCAGCTCTTTTTGTGGTGGCAAAGAATTGGAAATTGAGAGGATGCCCAACAATTGGGGAATGGCTGAGCAAGTTGTGGTATATGAATGTAATGGAATACTATTGTGCTATAAGAAATGATGAACAGGCTGACTTCAGAAAAACCTGGAAAGACCTATATGGTCTGATGCTGAGTGAAGTGAGCAGAACCAAGACGACTTTATACAAAATGAAACTTCTTTCTTACTAAATGGGAGCCTCTTAGTAAACATTCCTGTACCACTACATGGTTCAAAAGGTTTCCAAAGGGGAGTCATCTCTGAATATCTATTTCCTTCAATTCTCATATCCAATTTTAGCATGCCCAGTACTGGCAATTCCTCCATTGTTTACCATTTCCACATTCATAACATTAGATAAAGCATATTTACCTATCAAAGCTACCTAGATAGCCTGTCTTTTTCCCTTACCCAACTAACCTAATTACAATGTAACTAAGCTGGCCAACCTTAGATGCAACCGACCAAACTTGCTTGTCATTATTCCTCACAAACCTTTTATTTGTCACTTCCTCTACCTCTTCGTTCAAATAATGTCCTCATTTCCATTTTCCAAAAATCATATAAAAAATAGATCTTCTCTGACTTCCCAACACACAAAACCCTAAATATACAGATTTGTAGAGCTTAGTAGTTATTGTTTATATGATTCCTTTTAGACTTACCTGCTGCATTTGCTACTAAGCACCACGCTCTTCTCCTAAATACTCTTCTCCTATCTAGGTTTCTGTGATTCTTGACTCTCCTATCCATCTGACTGCTCCTTCTCACTTTCCTTTGCTGACTCATCATTCATATTACACACTAAATCAGGAGTGGGGAACCTGTATGATGAGTATCCCCCAAGGTAACATGGAAAGCCCTCTTCTCTGCTCCTTCTACATTCTCTCTCAGTAACCTTACCAACTCCTCTGGGTTTAATTATCTTTTTGCAGATAATAACAGACACACACACACACACACACACACACACACACACACATGCATAGCCCTAGTCTCTAACTTGAGGTGTAGTATCACATAACCAATTGCTTATGAGACACTTTAAACATAAGTCCCCAAAGACTCTCAAACTCAATTTGTTCAAAACCAAACGAATTTTCTTCCCCACACAAATCCACCTCTCTTCCAAACTTCCCTATTTCTGTCAAGTCACCATACCATCATTCTAATCTCACAGGTTCATGACCTTGGCATTACCCTTAATACCTTACGATCTCTATCACTAAGTAACCCCTTGGTTGCCAAATCTTGCCACTTCTATCTTCACGACATCTTCTCTCCACTGACAGAGCTACTACCCTTATTTCAGGCCATTACTATCCTCTCTTGCTTAGATTTTCATAAAATGCCTTAATTAGTTGCCCTGCCTCATGTCTCTCAATATTCCAGTTTATTCTATATACTGCTGCCAATCTTAAGTGTAAACCTAACCATATGACCTCCTTATTCAATCAACTCCAATGGTTTCCTATGGCTGCCAGGACAAAACACGAACTTTTAAAGTTTAACTTTTAAAGCACTTCACAATCTGGCCCCAACCTGTCTTTCCAAGGCTTACTGGGCATTACTCCCCCTCCCATAATCTGGTCATCCAGCCAAAGTGGCCTACCCTTTAGTCTTTACACCTGACACTCCAATTTCTCATGCCCCTGCCTTTATATATGCCTGAAATGGAATCATTCCTTACCTCTGCTTTATAGAGTCTGTTTCATCTTTTAAGATTCACCATTTTGCATAAAGTCTTTCCAGACTATCCTCAACTGCTCATACCCTTTCTCCAAAACTATCACATATTTAACTATTTTGCATTTATTTGTATTTATTGGCTTTATATTTATATTGTACATATTTGTATTTGTTATCTTCCTCATTATAAGGTAAACCTCTTGTGAATAGGGATTATTTCGTTCATTTTATTTATATCCCAAATACGTACTTACACATACATAAGTATTACATCTTCCCTGTAAGATTGTAAAAATTCCAAAGGCAAAAAAGAATCATATCTACTATTTGAGTTTTCTTTCAATACAGTCTAACAAATCATTCTGTACACACAATGAGTTTTCAATAAACTGAATCGTTGTTACGTTTCACAGAGGAAAAGTGAAAACAAAAAAATTGTATGAAGAACTGGAAAATGAAAAAAGGAAAAACAGAATCAAGCCGTTCTGGTAGTTTAAAATAAAGATGCATAAGAACCACAAACCTGGAGAAACTTGCATGCGGTTCATAGGCACACTTGGCATGGTCATAGGTCCATCTGTAATGATAAAAAAAGAACCAGTTTTTAAAATGCAGGATAAAGAACATTATTCATGGGAAAGGAAAGACAAAAAATTTTTTAAGAGTTAGTCTGATATTTAGCATGTTTTAAAGAGTCTATAAAGAAGTTGGAATATTCAAATACATAGAAAAAATGATGGTTGCTTCTACTTGTGGTAATAAAAAGAGATAATGACACTTTATGGTTATAATGCATTACACACACACACACACACACACACACACACACACATCTTGTTTGAATTTCACAACTCTGAGGTAGGCAGGACAGAGCTTATTAAATCCATTTTGCAGAAATGAAAACTAAGCCCCAAATGTGAGGGTTCCCAAGAGCACAACGAGCAGAAAACATGAAATGCATGGATTACTGACCCCCCAAAAGAGATAAGAATACACCTGCCTCCTTTCTTTGCAGAATTAAGAGATTAATGGTTTAGAACACTGCATATACTATTACAATAGAATGAAGTGTTGCTGAACTGCTCCCTCCACCAGACTTTTAAAACCTTTGTTGCAAGAGATATTCTTAGGGTGGGTGAGCAGAGAGGACCATAATGGAAAATTAATGTAAAAACCATATGTATCAATAAATTTTTTTTTTTAAAAAAACATGGAATGAAGGATGAAAAAAGATTCAATACTTACTTGGAGGTCTCACAGACTGTGCCTGGCCCATGCCAGCAGTGACCTGTGCAATACCTGGGGGTTGAGCCCCTGGGGTCTGTAAAGCTGGCTGATTAACCAAGATCCCTTGTTTATGTAAACGAGACCTTCGTTTTTCTTCTAATTCCTTCTGTATTTTGTAGATTTTCTCTGCTAATAAATGATAGTATTCATCCTATAAAAATAATTCAATAAAGTACTTAGACATTATTACATACAAACAATTCATCTTTTCCAGATGTTCCATAGTAATAAGGAAACCCTTGCAAAGCCAGAACTGTGCATTATACATAAAAAAGATGAATTCACATACATTTAATTTCAAACAAAAGCATGAATTTTTGTTGAGTCTCTTATTACATCAATAACTGACTCAATACCATCTCACAATAAAACAAGGGGTATTCATTATATATTCCATAATTATAACAAGGTACTCCACTAAAGAAATTAATTACCCAGACCGCTTTGCTCTCAATCAACTCTCTAGAAAAAAATATTTTTCAAGATATTCCAGACTGCCTGGATATTTGGGTATCCCTGTAAAATTAAACCTACCCTGCTATTAGCAGACTCATACATGTCCCCTTCCACTTTCCTAGCATAGGCCACCAAATTCTCCATGCGACGATCCTTCAGGGCTGCTGGGTCAGGTGTTGGAAAGATGGCTTGGACACTAAAAGAATAAAATATATAACAATCCGCTTTGAAAATGATTTCATAATCCATATAAAATAACTACGTAATCTCATATCATTTCTACAAATGAGAACTATCAGTCAGATTTTACAGATCAATTGCTTGGGAGTGGAGGAGGTGGAGGAGTATGAGTGTGTGTGAATATATTCGCAAGTGTCTGTTTATTAAGAACTATGCTCAAAATTATCATATCACTTCACTCAATTCAGACTTATTCCAAGATAATTAATTTACCAAGAATAATCTGTTAAAAGTAATCTTTTTTTCGTTTTTGCTTTTTGGTGAGGCAGCTGGGGTTAAGTGGCTTGCCCAGGGTCATACAAAGCTAGTAAAATTAATCTTGAAGATAGTTTTTTAGGGGGTATATCTTAAATTTTACTACTTAATGGTAAAAATTAATTCAGCATTGACCATGGTGTACCTAGAAGTTTAGAGTGAGTATAGGAAGACTATGGCAACAAACTAAAAAATCTTTATTCAATGAGAAGTGGAAAAGAAACTTATTTTTATGCCTCTAATACATGTTTCCATTAAAAACTGTATTGATACCATTAGTTATTTACATTACAGACATTTGCAGATAACTAAAATGCCCTACTTATGTGCTGTACCTCTCCCCACATGTTTCCTACTACCTTCTCTTCTCATCAAGAAAATCAATTGCTTGTGGGTCCCACAAAGGACACTGAACTAGGGATTATTCTGTTAATTTTAGGGTTGTTAGAGCTTCATCAGTAATTCCAATGGTCCTTTTTAGCTTCCTGAAACAGGAGGTAAGTAGCTGTTAGAGAGCCACAATTTGGGGTCCAATAACTTTGGGGATGTAGACGGAGAGTCTGTTAACTGATCTGAATAGCTGTGATATCTATGACTAATTTGTCCTGGAATTACATCACATTCTATGAACTATTCACAACTGAAGGGCTAACACTGTAGCTTCTACTTACAGTTTGTGTACTAAATGGTTACGCAGGTCCTGAGTGACATGCTCATGCCAGCCTTTCCTAACTCCAGTACTAGAAGGAGGTGCAGCCGTAGGCATGGTGCTCAGGCTTCCAATATTACCAGAATTGGTACCATCACTCATTAATGGGCTAAAATAAGAAGAAAAAAGACATTTCATTCACCTACTGCAAACACTAGCACAAATTTCCTTTCAGAATATGTTATCCTTTAGCCCATTTAATTTCTTCTATCATAACCAATAACATTATTCTTAGGTTGAGTATTTTCAACTAAACTAGTAAACCTTTAAGACATTATAGCCACTCCTAAGTCAATGAAAAAGTTGAAACCATTTTGTGCCACATGTCTAGAAAACATGTTTCCTGCCAGAATGCTTTAGTAGAATAAGAAACTAAAACAAATGAACAAATAAAGAGAAGCTGCTAACAAATGAGAACATAAAAAGAATGGAAGAAAAGGTGTATGAAATTAATGTAAAGAAAAAAAGTGTGGGGGACAGCAAAAACAAAGACTATGATGTATCTAAATGAACAAAACAATACAAATAATGTTCAGTTAAATGGTCTTATTCTAATTTTATTTAAGCATTATTTGAATTAAATAATAAACTATTGTTGAGTCATAAATAAGTAACACATTACAATGGCACACTTCAGTTAATAAAAACTTCTTTACATGTAGAGAAGGACATAATTACAAAAGCATTTGCATCTTAAATCAAATCACTAAATATCTGCCAAAAAACCCCCAAACAAACAAACAAACAAAAAACCACAATGAGGCAATAATACATCCCTTCCTTATAACCAAGATGGGGGGAAGAAGAGAAGCTACCTTTCCTTGAATGGTAAGAGTTGGTGCCACAGCACCTATCTCCTATTCAAAGCACAGGTACTAGACTTAGAGGCCCCGTGCCCACCACAGAAACCTACTGTCTAGATTGTCCTGAGTCACCACAACAAAAGTCCTAAGCACCTAGTCCTCCACTTACATCAAGGGTCTGTCTTGCCCCAGTACCATTTCATCACTGAACTCAGGACGATCAGGACCTGAGTTCCAGGTTAGACTAAGGAGGTCTTTTCCCAGTCCTATTGAGGTACTGGGTTTAGAGGAATCTTAAAGGTCTCCTAGTCTCAAAATTTTCTGTCCCCAATTTACTGTCCTGGTTAAAAGCTGTACCTATTTTTCCATATGTCAGCAGAACATGCCACAGACTCTAGCTTACCAATTAGCATTTGGACAGGTGGAAACCAACAAAGTTCCTACCCTGGCACTTGAGTGAATAAATCTCTAGTTGCCTAAGAGAAGAGGTTTTTGTCCTTCTACTATTCTCTGCTCTTTCAATGCCATTCAGCTCAGTTACAATCTTCCCTTCATCTTAAACTTTCATGACCTCACATTTGCTCTGCCTTACAGCACTCAGAGAAATCTGGCTTCCATCCCACAAAACTCTACTTTCTATCCTTTGATGGCTATTTCCACCCCAACCCCTGCACTGTATCAGTATTAGATGGACCTTCTCCATAGCCCCTGAATCCTTGAGCCAGGAGTAGGCATATGCTTTACTCTCTGCTTCTACCTTAGAACTCTGTCCCCAAGCTGTAGATGATTTTGTTGTTATTATTATTAGCATTTGCATAGTGCTTTAAGACTAGTAAGTCATCTCACAAATATTATTTTATCCTCACAACCCTGGGAGGTAGAAAGCATTATTATGTTCATTTTACAGATGTTTCTTACCTAAGGCAGATAGGAATTAAGTGATTTGCCCAGGGTCATATATACAAAGTACATGGGTGTGTGTGTGTGTGTGTGTGTGTGTGTGTGTGTGTGTGTGTGTGTCTGAAACTAAATTTGATTCCAGATTCAGCATTCTCCTTTAACACCTAGCAGCCTTTAATCCGTGGAGCTATTACGCTCTATCCAGCATATCTACCCTCCTGACTATTTCCCCCTGTTGTCAAGTAGTTCAGTACTTTACAAAGTTTTTCTGTCCAACACAATCTCTCACATTTGGATATTTCAAAATACACATGCATATCCCTCAGAATACTCAGGCATCCAAATTCATTAAAATCCCCACACCACTTACGGCTTTGAATTCTACCTTAACCTCAACATCATCAACAACTATTTAACCTCCATGATTCAAAAAAACCAAAATTCATCTATTATCTCCTCCTACTCCTTCTATCATGGCCATCTAAAGCTATAGTTTGTCCCTGCTACAGCCTCTGGTCACTTCATGCCTGCTCCTACTGCTCTATATTAGTTCTTTTCATATGTCCATGACCACTTCTCAGTGCCATCTATTGATCACAATTTATCTTTCAACTGATAAATGAAGAGTGTTCCCCAAAGCTCTGACCTACACTACTTTTCTTTCATTTAGAATAAGGACTTTTCATTCTTTGTACTTATATCTTAATGTACCTAGTGCAGTAACTAGCATATAGTAATTAATAAATGCTTAGTGGATTAAATGGTGATTTCATCAGCTTACATATGTCTTATTATCATCTCTAAGCCCATAGCTCCCAAATCAATCAATCAATCAATCAGTCAATCATCTTCATTGCTCTTCTCAAATCTAGTTCCATATATCACCAATTTACTAATGGATATTATCACTTCCATATCCTTTTAGGAACTTCAAACCTGACTGAACTCATTATCTTCTGCTGAGATCTGACTGTCCTCCATACTCACTTGCTTCTGTTGAAGGCATCATGTGATCATCCTTTTAGTCAGCCAAGTAAACAATAAAGGAAATCATCCTCCATTCTACCTTTCCTAATTTTACTATATATATTCAACCAGTTGTTAACGTTTTTCCCATTCTCTGTACTCACATCGCTACCAGTTTACCAAGATTACAACAAAGGCCTCCTAACTGGCATCCCTGCATCCATTCACTTCACTCTTTCATTTATTTTCCACAAACCTGCCATAAGTCTTCCTAAATTATAGTTATTATCACATAATTCTCTGACTCAAACATCTTCAACACCTCCTTATTGCCAGGACAATAAGATACAAACCCTTTAGCCTAGCATTTAAAGCCCTAAATAATCTGTCTATAGCATGCCTTTTGAGAATTATTTCATACACTTTAGATATATCCATTCTCTCCTCACTTATACCTCTCAAAATTCTTTGATCCCTTTAAAGGTTGATTCCTTTAGGTTCTAGATTCCCCTAGTTTTAGTAAGATCTTACTCCTATTAACTTATGATTTATTTATCTGTTTGCTTAATTTAGTTCCCTAGTAGAGAGCAAGTTCCACGAGGGGAAGTGCCGTTTGTAGTTTTTGACTATGTCTACCCAGAACCTAGCACACAGTAGACACTTAATAAATGGTTAATGAACTGAATTGAAGGCAGAGCAATTTAATGGTCAAGTATTAAATGGCACTGCTAATAGATAACCAAACAGAAAGGACAATATAACATCAAAGAGAGAATTATATTAGTTTCAAAGAAAATATATGACAAACTAATTCAATACTAAATGATACTTCTTTATAACGATTAAATATGAAATAATCGTAAGAAAGAATCTAGTCCTTCCCCTCCCACTTCATTTTAGAGAGATAACATAAAAATGAAATTGAAAATTTTGGCATTCAAGCAGAGAGAATGAAATAGAAATTATTCTTCTTTGTATACATCATAGATCACATCTCTCACAGTGTCTATTTCTCCCAGCTCCATTATTTCAATCAATCAACAAGTTTTTCTGAAGGACCTACTAGGTAGGTGCCAAGCACTGTGCTAGGGACACAAATACAATGAGTCAAATAATCCCTACATACAAATGGAGCTTTGGTGCCTTTAAACACTCTTACTTCAAGAAGTCAAATTCACCTCTTGGAAATAGATACCTCTCTTCCAAAACAATGGCAAAGAACCCAATCTCAACCCAGAATTATTTCTAAAATCCTTTTGTTTGATACGCTTTTCCTCATTTCCATACATTTATTTCTCCACGTCCACTACTGGACACATATACTTACAAAATTTGCCCCAGAACTACACTTAACCTAATAAATGCCCCCTTCTTCCCTCTGTTATCCCTTCCAAAAAACAAAAAGATATAAATTGTCTATAAATATGTTTTAAATTGATACTGAATTGAATTTGTTTTGAAAATTTAAAATTCTGTCAAATATGGCTAATAGTGATCATTCATAAAGAATGTATAATGTTTTCAAATGAAAAGTATGTTTCTTAAAATACCAAATATTCAATCCAGTTCACAAAAGCCCCATAACTACAAAATGTTCTACAACTCCTCTACAATTAAATGTCATAACAATGAATGGGACAGAAGTAAAGATTCTGAATTGCTAATGCTCTAAGCAATACTCTGTTCCCATTCTCATTTAAAAAACAACAACAAACATTTCTTCCTTTCTTATTATCACTTATACACAAGATAATTTCTTCCTGGTTCTAAACTTCTAGATTTATATTACATAATACAACAGTCTTACATCATTCCCATTACATGTAGTTAGTTTTCATTCAAGAAAATAAGAATCAAATGAATAACGAGACTTACTTTGTTGCTCCAAGAGAGGTTGGAAGAGCAGTTTCTGAAATCAGATTTGTTTGTTGGTCTGTTGCAATCCCTCCAGCTGGAATGGTCATTGGATTAGTACCTTAGAGAAAGAAAAATTAGATAAATGAATTACAATTACATTTTTTAAAATTTCACTGAGAAGATAAAATGATCAAACTACCATTTTTGACAAATAATTTCCAGAATCTGATAAATAATGTCTTCTGTATATAAGATGTACATTTTTAAAAAAACTGTTTTGAACTGTATTTTTAGTAGTAGTAGTGATAAAGTCCATATTTTCTCATCTACTCCAACCTTGTGACCAACACTGTAACTTGTAGTGCTGTCCAAGGCCATGGAATACAATAAAATTGATCAGCCCAACTAATTTTATTGGCATTATGTTTGAACAAACTGGACTAACAAGCCAGAGGCATGTATGTTATGTTTTTCATGTAAATATAAGGAATCAAAGAATTTTTAATACAGAAAGGGTCACAGAAAAAATATTTAGCCCAAATTCTTTATGTTACAAATTAAGAAGAGAAAGGATAACAACAACTGATTATGTACATATTATTTAAAGTTTTCAAAGCAACACATAACATCCTATCACTTCAGCCTTGTAACAACAGCCCTGTGAGTTAGATATTACGGTTTCTATTACCCCAAATTTAACAGATAAAAGAAATTGTGGCTTAGTGAAGATAACTGACTTTTTTTATGGATATATAGCTAGCAAGGATCAGATACCAAGTTCAAAGCCAGGTCTCTCTCTTAAATCCAATGTTATTTCCACTATGCCATGCTGTCACAAAAAGTGAAGTGGTTTTCACTGTCATATAACTAATTAAAGCTAAGACAAGAACACATATTTCCTGTTAGTTTCTACATCAGTGTTTCCAAACTAATGATTTTTACTGACTGTACAGATCATAACCAGCATACCTAAGACTGGCAGATCACAAACAATTTTAACAGCAAACAGACTGTTTACTTAGTATCTGTTAGTAAATTTATCTTACTCCACCTCCACATGCAGTTATTTGAATCATACAATATTAGATTCAATAACACAGGCAATAAAGTTCGCTAGCAATACTGAAACCGAAGCAGCAAGAAAAATAAAAACTTATCAGTGTACTTGTTCAGTCTATCTGTTTAAAGGAATGTTATCATTCATGAATAAAAACACCAAAATTCCCAGAAAAAAGAGATGGCATGGAGACTTGCTAGATCTGAATTTAGGTTGTAATTCAGTTTACTGCTATTGGACAAAGGGTAGCTTTCTGGTTTCTTCACCTACCCAATGCATTCAGAGTCCTCATCTGCTGGTGAGTTTGAGGTTGTGCTGGTTGCTGGCCAGACACTTGAGGCTGCAACTGTGTCTGTGGCTGGTTGCCATAGGGTAGTCCAAGAGCAGCATAAGCCCGTTGCATGGAGCTGGGATCTATTGGATTGGGGTTACTTAAAGTAGAAGCATTCTGTTGGCCTGAACCAACAGAACCGATGGTATTCTGAATTCCACTTGCTGGAGATCCCAGGATGGCTATTTTTTTTTTAAAAGGAAAGCAAAGAGAGGGTAAAGGGCCAAAATAATTTTTAAAAGGGCACAAATATCATTAATTTTTAACCAAATTGCAACTTTAATTTTATTAAGAGCACAAAAACAAATTACATGATACTAAAATACAACTATCAAGAAAAAAACACCTATTGGAAGAGCCTCAAACTATATTATATAACATAATCATCAAAATCAGTTAGTACCAGTTTAAAAAAAGAAAGAAAAGTCAATCAGTGGAAGAAACTACATAAGCAAGAAACAAAATGCAAATGAAAACCATGGTCCAGTGTTAGAAAAATTTAAGAACATGTATCATCAGGATAAGCTTAAAAGTTGTTAGATGTTCACTCAACAAGAACTGCTGGCAAAACTGGAAAACAAACTGACACATAAAATAAGCAATTTTGAATACATAAAAAAACATAAAGTTTACATGTGAATGAAATCAATGAAAAGAAATAGAATAATGGGGAAAACTACCTGTACCAAATAAAGCCCGATGTCCAAAATAAACAGGAAATTAATACAAGACACTCCTTAAAAGAGTTGCTCAAAGCATACAAATACTTTTCAAAAGAAAACTGAAAACTACAACTTACAATAAAATGTTCCAAATTACTAATAATTAAAGTACAAATGAAAACAAGTGAAATGCAAACTGGCAAAAAGGGAAAAATAATAGAAACAGTCAATGGGATTGTGAAAAAATAGGCACAGTGATATATTATTGTTAAGAGACAGAAAGTGGTATTAACTTCTATTTAATCTGGAATTAAGGAAGGAAGGAAGAAAAAACATTGAAAAACTTTTAAAACTTTTGACTCAGAAATAAGACTGCACACATATGCTTAAGAGGGCAAGAACAGAAGAAACTGAAATTTAACCATATGTCAAAACATTCATAGCAACATTCTATGTAACAGAAAAGAACTGAAAACAAGTTGAGTGCCCATCAACTGGGAAACTGCTGTGGGGGGAAAAATCCTATGGCATATAATATAAAGCAATATTATTGTGCACTAAGAAATGACAAATATAAGGAATGTGGAAAAGCTCTGGAAAGACTCGTGTGAACAGATACAATTAAGTAGAACCAAGAGAACAATAAACACAACAATCACAATAATGTAAAGAAAAAGATCACTGTAAGAAAGCATAAATTTATGTACTAAAGGGCCCTGATAATAAAACATACTTCTTAAATCATAGCAGAAAAAGGAATCAGGAAACAACTACTGGAGAACATTATATATGTTTACAGATATACTCATAGCATCAAACTTTCTGCCTGTTTTTCTTTGTCACAAAGGGTTTGGGCAATGAAATGACTGGTGTAAAGACAAAAGGAATCAAGATTTTCTGTTAGTGGTGTTTTTAAAGAAAGAAGATATGCTGGAGAGGGGCTCAGAAGACATATGTATGTATATATGTCTGTGTGTTTATGCAATATACACTATATACATGTATAGATACGTCATACAGCATATATAATGTATGTAACAGCATGTTTATACAATGTATGTTGCAGGCATACACCCTGCATATACATACATACATAAAATACACTGATAAATTTCAGCCTTGTAGGACACTCCTAGGCAACCAAACTAAGAAAATAGAAATTTCTGTGAAATGTTCTAGCCATTCAAAAAAGCAATTTGGACTAGGTTCGAAAAGTAACAAAAGTGCATACTCTTTAACATATCAATATCATTAATGGGTCAATAACCTAAAGAGATTAAAGAAAGAGGCAAATGACCCACATGTACAAAAATATTTATAGTACTTTTTTTTGTTATAATAAAGAACTGGAAACTAAAGGGGGGATGCATCAAATAGAGGTATGGCTGAAGAAGTCATGGTATATAAATATAATGCAATATTACTCTGTAAGAATGATGGAAGATGGTAGTAGACAGAACAGAGACACTTGGTACAAACTCACGCAGAGTGAAAAACAGAATCAAGAGATCAATTTATGTAGCAACAATGTAATGTACAACAACTATGAACGACTTTTAAAAACTCCTTAAAATTCGGAATTTGAAGAAAACCTGAGAAAAATATTAAATTTCCACGTTGGAAAATGTAATAGACCATAAAATAACAATAAGACAAGCTTAATGAGAATTATTCTGTTCAGACAAGTTCTCAAAAGAAATCTGAGTTATTTAAAGCTATATAAATAAAATCTCTAAATCACTAATAACAAAAGAAATGCAAATTAAAACACCTTAGAGATAATATCCCACATCTATAAGACTGGCAAAATTGACAAAAGAAACAAAGTGACAAACGCTGGAGGCTTTGTGGGAAAACAGGTACATTAATGCATTATTAGTGCAGTTGTCAACTGGCTGGGACATTCTAGAAAGCAACTTGGAAAGCTACTAAAATATGCATACCTTAACTCAGTGACATCACTATTAGGCTAATTCCTCAAAGATATATATATATATATGTATATATATATATTTTTTTTAAATGAAGAAAGTTCTTATTTGCAACAAAAGTATTTGTAGTTACAAAGAACTGGAAGCTAAAGGGAATGCCCATTAAATGGGGAATGGATGTATGCATATGAATGTAATGGAATACTATTATTTTGTTCAAAAAGATGACTTCAGACAAACCTGGGAAGACTCAAGTCTGATTCAATGAAATGAGCAGAATCAAGAAAGTAATGTATATTACAACATCAACATTGAAAAACCAACAATTATGAAAAACACAAAAGAGACTACTCATGAAGAATGCTGACCATCTCAAAGAACTTTAAAATAACACCTCAAAACAAACTCTGAAGCAGCAGAACCAATAAAAGGTGAAAGAATTTTCTACACAAGACAATTTAGAAGGTCATAAGAAAGGTCTGTCAAAGTGGGGTGAGAGTGGAGCCCAGGCTAAGCAAGGCCGCCATGCCTCTAGGAGCCAGGAGAAGCAGCAGGCCTCAGGGGCGACCAAATCAGCAACAGTGGCAGCTGCTAAAGCTCTCAGCCCTCAGACAGGAAAGGGGGGGTAGAGGGTAGAGTGTCAGACAACAGTCACAAGGAGTTTATGGGGAGCCTTTCCTGGCACCAGGTATAGGATTCTCTTACATTGCCCATATAGGGTCAAAGTCGCAGAATGAGAAGAAGTAATGGGAGGAGGAAGGTCCCTTATCACACTTCTAGGGCAAAAGAGTACTCACAGACCAGAAGAGCAGTGACCACACCTCTGCTTAGATACCACACTAGAAGAACTAAAAACTTACAAACTGCCAGAACTAGCTTCAAAAGCCGAAACACAAAAAAGCTTGGGACAGGTCCCCTGCACCCCACCCCCACCCTCTTGACCCTTCCACCATACCAGGAGCAAAGCCCAACTTTAACATAAAGTTAAAGTCAAGAAATGGGCTGGAAAAATGAACCTGATGATAAAAAGGTACTCTGGCGACAAGGAAGATCAAAACGCAAACTCAGAAGACAACAATGTCAAAAGAGCCATATGCCAAGCCTCAAAGAAAAATGTGAACTGGTTTCCTGCCCAAAAAGAAATCAAAAGGGATTTTAAAATTAAGAGAAGTAGAGAAAAAAAATTGGTAAAATAAATTAGTGTTTAAAAAAAAAACCCATGAACAAAAGCTTGGTAAAGGAGGCACAAAAAAATACTAAAGAAAACAACACTTTAAAGTACAAAACAAGCCAAATTCTAAAAGCAGAACAAAAAACACTGAAAAAAGAACTCCTTAAAAAGCAGAATTGGCCAAATAGAAAAGGAGAAACAAAAGCTCATTGAGGAAAATGATTCCTTAAAAATAAGAACTGGGCAAATGGAAGTTAATGACACCATATGACATCAACAAACAAAATCAAAAGAATAAAAAAAAATAATAAGAATAAGAAAATGAGAAATCTCTCATTAGAAAAAAAATGACATGGAAAATGGATGTAGGAGAAACAATTTAAGAATCACTGGACTATTTGAAAGCCATGATCAAAAAAAGAACCTAGACATCACCTTTCAAGAAATCATCAAGGAAAACCGTCCTGATATTCTACAACCAGATGATAAAACAGAAATCGAAAGAATCCATCATCCACGATCTGAAAGATATCCCCAAAAGAAAATTCCTGGGAATATTATAATGCAAATTCCAGAGCTCCCAGGTCAAGGAAAAAATATTGCAAGCAGGTAACCAGAAAGAAACAATGCAAATACTGAAGAGCCACCGTACAAAGATTTAGTAGCTTCTACATTAAAGGATTGGAGGGCTTGGAATATGATATTCTGAAGGGCAAAGAAGCTAGATTTCAACCAAGAATCACCTATACAGCAAAACTGAATATAATACTTCAGGGTGAGAAAATGGATATTTAACGAAACAGAGGAATTTCAAGCACTCCTGATGAAAAGAACAGAGCTGAATAGAAAATATGAATTTTCAAATGTAAAACTCAAAAGAAACTTTAAAAGGTAAACAGAAAAGAGAATCATAAAGGATTCTATAAAGTTATACTATTTACATTCTTATATGGGAAAATGATCCTTGTATCTCCTAAGAACTTTATCATTATTAAGGCAGTATGAAGAAGTATACACAGACAGAAGGGATGGGTGTGAGTTGACTATGATGGGATGATATCTAAAAAAATAAAATGAAAGGGTGAGAAAGGGATAGACATAGGAAGAACGGGGGTAAGTTATATAAAAGAGGTGTGGAAAAGTTTTTACACGGGAAGGGAAGATGAGGAGTGACAGACAATGCTCAACCCTTACTCTCATCAAAACTGACTCAAAGAAGAAATAACATACACACTCAGGTATAGAAATCTATTTTACTCTAGAGGGAAGTAACAGACAAAGGCCATAAGAAAAAAGAGGAGGGTGTGTGTGTGCACGTGAATAGAAGGGAGGGCAGATCACAGGACTTAGTGGTGACAGGGTTGGGTGAGAAGGAGTGGGGGGGGTGTAGACAGAGAGAAGAGGACATAAGACAATAG